CTAGCGGCAAACGTTCCAACTCCATACAAATTTGAGTTAACTTTTACGCTATCGAGAGCGTTAAAAAACTCGCACGAAACACACTGAAGTTGGTTGACGTTAGACGGGCGGTTGGTCGTTTAACTCATGCTAAATTTCTGTGCAACATGACATAGGACAGCTGCGCTGATCGCACATAACGTTCGATAATGCTAACAACAAGAAGAAGAAGCTTTGTCACTGATTAACGTTGCTAATCATAAGTATACGCGATGAGACACCGCTGGGAAAATCTTAACAATAAAACCACGAGACTGCCGGTCTTATAAATGTGATGTTTCGATTATAGTTGACTTCATTCAAGCAGGAATCGAATGTATCTTAAAATAACCACTTACGAATTGACACGTAAAAACTATAGTTTGGTGTACACGGTTAATGTAACCCCCTCCCATAATTGCTAATTCCACAACGTGAAAAATCATAATTCAATCTATCAAGAAATAACTCATCTTGTTTAGCCGAACGCGTGATTCAGGTAAGTTTAAAATGGTACCCAGGATAGGAATTAGAAAAATAAGTGTCGCTACTGCTACTAAGAATGAATGACGGAAGAGTAGTCAATTAAAACTACTGTTACGGATTAATCTAGAGTATTTTATTATCTTTGTATTCTATCGGAAATTTGATGATTAAGTCATAAAAGTGATTTTAATTATAATAATCATGGAGAAGACTGAATATATATCATAACAACGTTGGACCTCCAAATCAAATATAATAGCAAAATAAATAACTGAAAACAAATCACGCACGGTCATTCCGCCCCAAATTAGGATTCCTTGTGTTGTTAGTACCAGAGACTGACATACATCTGCCGTGAAGCAGTAATGTGTTTCGGTTTGAAGGATGGGGCTGCCGTTGTAACTATACTGATACCTTAGAACACATATCTCAAGGTGGATGGCGACTTTTACGTTTGAGTTGTCTATGGGCTCCGATAACCATTTAACATCAGATGGGCCGTGAGCTCATCCACCTATCTAAGCAATAGAAAAAAAAACACTTATATACGTTTGAATATATAGATAATAAACACCCTGCAAAGAGCAAAAAAACCTGCTCATCGCACGAATGTCGATGTGGGAATTGAACCCACGACCCTCGGTGCAACAGTTAGGGCACTAATTACTGCGCCACCGAGTCAGTCAAATGATTATGAATTTACAGATTGATTCAGATTGAATCGGTTGTACGTATTTTTAAAGTAACTCAGCAACCAATCTTTTTTTTTTAAATTCCATGATGACTCACGTCTTGCAATTAGATGTTACAGTTCTGACGGTGTTCCTTAAAACCGGCTCTGACTCACGCATCGAGTAAAACTAATGTGCTGAAAAAAACCGGTATATTTTGACCTCTCGCGACCCTCGCAGCCGTAAGAATAAAAATTGTTGCATCGTTCTTCCACAGGCTCTCGTCTGATGATTGGTCCTGTTTGAAACCGATAAATTAAAGATGTACGTATTTACAATACGATATTTTCAAGGGATTTTGCGAATTGTAACGACACTCTTAGAACACTTTCGAGGTTTCATCTTGCGTTTACAATTTCCGACATTTCAAAGACGAAGACTTTAATTAGATTTATTAGTACATCTTTGACTGTAGAAGGGTTTTTTTTTTTTCATAAAAAATAACCAAATATAAATGTTTTATTCTACCTTCACCGATCTCTTATGAAACTTACATTATTAACATGCGTACAGTGTGCTTAGTGCGAGTTTTTTAACGTCCTCGATAGCGTAAAAGTTAACTCATATTTGTATGCAGTTGGAGCAGAGCCCCTAGCGGCAAACGTAGACAAACGTTCCCACTCCTATAATAGAAAATTGGGTTAACTTTTACGCTATCGAGAACGTTAAAATACTCGCACTAAGCCCACAGATATAATATTATGTATTCACAAAATAGATAAGGCTTACTGTTCGTTGATATAAACACGTGAGAAGAACTTGACATTCAAAATTACTAGAGTTGCGCTTAAATTTAAGTTTCCGGGATAATATTGGTTATTCGTAACGAGGTAAAAGATACCGTAAATTACTAGTTTTTGCGTGATCCTACATATATAAATCAACTGTTATAAAAAAACTTGGTATGTGAACAATTACCTTCTACCAAATCAGTTTCTTTGTTCTCATATATGTTTTAATGCAATCTCGTTCATTACTTACATCCGGACATCTGTATGTATCTGTATGCGTGCGTATCTAACAGCTCTATAATAGTATCGATAGATTGGGTTGTTTTTACGCCGAATATAGAACTCTGTCGTACAAAGTATACGATTTAAATTGTAATTGCCACATTCAACGATTTGGGCGATGGAGACAAACAAAACAAACCCCGAATAAGAAATATCCGTCGTTACTACGACCGGAAATCGAACTAAGAACTCGTAGTTGTCACCATAGATAATACACATAAATTAGTTATAGACAAGCAACTCAAGCACTCAACAAAAATGTTTACGGGCGTCGGCCACTAGATGGCTTCGCTTCGATTAGTTTCTCATTGCTCCTGTAGACGGCAGTAACATATTACCTATCCTATATTTTACTTTCAATGAATCAATTTTGTAAATTTTCAGAAACCACAAATTAATAAAATTTAATCAATTTGTCTATAACAAATGAAGACTTGTATGATTTATTAAAAAAAAAACTGTGTTTAGTTATTCAATAATTAAATGCCTTAACTTTAATAACATATAAGTTTAAGGGCATCCCCTAAAAGATGTCGCTAGTTTCCATACAAACAAAATATTTGTCTTAAAGTATCGGCAGTTTCAGGGCCTGGTTATCAGAGCCACTAACAACTCTATCAACATCTATCAATTGTTCAGGTTTGTTTTCAACACGTAACTCGACAACGCGAAAAGTGGGAAATTCGTATATATCATCGTCTATGTCAATCATTCCTTGACGTAGTCATTGACGCATATTTTGATGATTCTCGTGTGCATCATAGCTCATATAAAATTATAGACTCGAATGTTAGATCATTAAAAATTCCAAGTGACTGATGTTTTTGTTTTTGAAGTACCTACTACTTACTACCTTACTGTACTTGACGTAAGCAGGCGTTCCGGTTCGAAGGGTGGGAAAGAGCCGTTATAATCATTGATACACCTGATAAAAAGTCGTCGTGGCCTAAAGGATAAGACGTCCGGTGCATACGTGTTGAGCGATGCACCGGTGTTCGAATCTCAGGCGGGTACCAATTTTTCTAATGAAATACGTACTCAACAAAATTTTCACGATTGACTTCCAAGGTGAAGGAATAACATCATGTAATAAAAATCAAACCCGCAAAATTACAATTTGCGTAATTACTGGTGGTAGGACCTCTTGTGAGTCCGCACGGGTAGGTACCACCACCCTGCCTATTTCAGCCGTGAAGCAGTAATGCGTTTCAGTTTGAAGGGTGGGGCAGCCGTTGCAACTATACTTGAGACCTTAGAACTTATATCTCGAGGTGGGTGGCGCATTTACTTGTAGATGTCTATGGGCTACAGTAACCACTTAACACTAGGTGGGCTGTGAACTTGTCCACCCATCTAAGCAATAAAGAAAAATGTTTATTTGGACCTCGTGTCTTAAAGTAGTTGGCGGTATTCACGTCAATGTCCATAGCCGCGACTCGCGAGCCCAACTGTCCATATACAGCGGTAATCAATATTCAGAATAAAAACATTCAATTACTAAATCTGTCTTTTTTAAATAAATCCCTAACACAACGTAATGTGTAGTTTCCAAGACGATGACGTCAAGTTCGGTTTTTTTTTTCGTTTGTCTGTTTCGCTTCACCGGATGACAGTTTTTTTTTTGTCTCATTTCATGTGCAGTTGACGAACAGGGCTGCCTATTCAGCAGACAATCCTCATGCATTTATTTAAAAATGAACATTACAGCGTACCATATTTGTACTGGTGGTAGGACCTGTTGAGAGTCTGCGCGGGTAGGTACCACCACCCTGCCTATTTCTGCCGTGAAGCAGTAATGCGTTTCAGTTTGAAGGGTGGGGCAGCCGTTGTAACTATACTTGAGACCTTAGAACTTATATCTCAAGGTGGGTGGCGCATTTACGTTGCAAATGTCTATGGGCTCAAGTAACAACTTAACACAACTAAGCAATAAAAAATTAAAAAAAAAAGATTAGTATGCTATCACACTGTTGCATAGGCATAGGATTCGGTCAACAATAGTCTAATACGAATATAAAAAGAACTGTAACTGCATTCGTTAGAAACATTAAAATAAAATAAATATTAATAATATTCGGATTCAAGACACTATTTAACATTGTTACTATTTTAAATATATTAAGCATTGTTTTTTTCGACACGTAACTAAGACAGTATAGGAACTCCAAATGGTATTTTTCCGATAAAGCTGACAGCCCTGGTTGACACCCGTGTGACTAAAAATACAACGTTCATTATAAGTACAAATTATGGGCTTGTTATCTCCCTTCCCTACATTTTTGGAATGTGTATTATGTCGTTACTCATGTTTTCTCTTAAAATTAGTTCTGTCTAACCTTTGAAGTACCTACATCTTTTGGAAGTACAAAATGTAGGTGGTAGTAAAGGAATAGATTTTTTCATTTCCAAATGGGCCTATTTGTAGCTAATTAGCCTACCGACGTAACCAACCTAATTCAAGAGTTTGAGCTTTTGTTTGAAACTTTTTGTTTATCTTATCTTAATCGACAATCTCATAGATTGCCCGTTATATCTTTTAGGTATTGTAGCTGGCAAGATCTTTAAAAAAAATCTATTGTCGAATATTTTTAGATTGTGCTAATACCAGGTTGAATATAGGTAGGTTTTTTTTGTAGTAGTAAAGGATTTTTTCATTTCCAAATGGGCCTATTTGTAGCTAATTAGCCTACCGACGTAACCAACCTAATTCAAGAGTTTGAGCTTTTGTTTGAAACTAATCTTGTTGTTCCAGAGTTCAAGAAAGATTGGTCGGACCACGCCCTCTGGTGGCCGACTAGAAACAAATGGCTCTCCAGACCGAAACACACCCTGGACCAGTACGGAGTTCACGCGGACGCCGCCCTACACTTCACGCCCATGCACAAACCACTAAGAATCCAGCTGCCGGACTTGAGATTCATCGACTGCAAAATTGACTTCTCAATTGACACATTCAGCGCCGTTATACAACTATGTAAAAATCTTGGTGAGTTCTAATATTTACTGCATAAATTGATACAATCTTCTACATACCCGATCCTGTAGACCGAACGGTAAACATTCGACGTCGCCCAAAGCACGTCATTACGGATCCTCCCGATCCATTAACGGTGCTTTTAGACACCACAAGCACCGGTCACCGTCCTCGTCGAACCCGTCGCTTGTGACGAAGGGCTCGACGAGCAAATTCGCCCATAGACACAGCCCATTGAGTTTCTCGCCAGATCTTCTCGGTGATACTGAAATAGCCTCTCAAGGCTATCAGCATAGGTAGGGAAAAAAGTTAGTGCGGGCCGCGTGAGCGAACACTACACTTGCATAGGTCATGACCGCACGTATGCAAGTTTTGTTGAGTGTCACCTTATTACGATGGGACAATTTACTTAGCTTGCAGATGATCGGATAGAGGAGTCCTAATATGAACGCGGCTCTTAGGCCGCAAATTTTTTTTTCCTTACCTATGCTGATAGCCTTGAGAGGCTATATCAACTTCACCCTAACGTGTAGCAAGAGCAGTGCTTCGCAGAATCTACCACCGGATCGGAAACGCGACCCACTGAGAAGATCCGACGAGAAACTCAGTGGGCTGTGTGTATCTATGGGTTAATTCGCTCGTCGAGCCCTTCGTCGCAAGCGACGGGTTCGACGAGGACGCTGACCGGGGCCAGATGCAATGCAACATTTAGCTCGAACGGAAAAAAAGTCGCTATAGACTATTTTTATTTATTTATGACACGTCCTTCTTCAAACGAGGCTTGAGGAAAGTATTAAGCGGTAGGCAGCGGCTTGGCTCTGCCCCTGGCATTGCTGAAGTCCATGGGCGACGGTAACCACTCACCATCAGGTGGGCCGTATGCTAGTCTGTCTACAAGGGCAATAAAAAAAATAAAAAAAATCTTTCTCACACTATTAGCAGAGCTTGAATAATACCAGTATGAAGCTCCCTTGGGCTGTAAGTCCAGTGTTCATAAAACGCGAAGGCATGTAACGTGTCTTGTGTCACATCGTAACTGTCTTATCGGTATTAACGTATTTACGAGCTTATTTTATTACTCTCGCAGGGGCATCTAAATACGCTACGTCTCGAGTATTCCTCAGTTTTACGAGACGTATACAAGTAAAATCGGAAACGTCGTAAAATATTACAAAAAAAAACAACACCTTGTTACGATGTGTTTTAGTGAATCAATTTCAGTGTAATTAATTTTAATGTTTCTTTTTTCAATACAAAATTACTGAATTTATTGCTTGGGCTATTCGACCGAGAATTTTGTAACATAGTTCTTATAATTAAATAAAACTTGAACTACCTATGTTATGCTGATGATATTAATACAATAAAACAAATATCGTGCTAAATTCAAAATTGAATTGAAAAATGTATGTATGAGAAAGATTGCTCTGTTCAAACAGCAAAATCTCTACAGAATTTTCGCAATTCAGTTTTATCAGGTGTGCTATAAGGATTGCACAGCCAAATCTCACGCCAAATAGATCAGCTTTCTCGGCTATCTACCAAAGATAACCAATCTGAGGAATTTTTCGTGTGAGAAAATAAATACGGTGACGTACTTTCGAGAACCAGAACACGAGACCTTTAGGTGTTAAATTGAAACAGAAAATATATATTTTGAAATAATAATTTTTTTTATTAATCTAAGAACATATAGAACCCGTTGTCTCTGTCTACCTCATTGACATAGTGTTTGGTAAAAATTAAAAAAAACAAGAATATTAAAAAATATCTAATATGTATTCAAAAAATAAACACATGCTCGCTGAGTTTCTTGTCAGTTCTTCTCAGGACGGAGGCTAGTTTTTGTGAATTGGCGGTAGTTCTTTTTCATGTTCAACAAGTATGTACTTTCATTATGTTCAATAAAAAAAATGATTTGATTTTGGTAAAAGTTTTTTCATGGTGATAAATTACGAAACTCAGACTCGTTTTTTTTTTTCTGGCTAGCCGGAACGTTTCTCTGTACACAATTTTTTTATATGTTCTTTTAAGGTATAAGGCATTCTGAAGAACTATCGCTGTGCTATCCGCTCGAGGCGTCACATCTAAAACAGAACTATCAAAATCTGAAAGAAGCTAAAAGAATAAAGAACACGCAGGCTCCGGACACGAATACATTCATAGCAGCGACAAGAGGCTCTTCGAATAGCTTGGATAGATCAAATGGCCCGTGTCCCGCTACCCCGCCCCCGCCGAGGTCACTGTCTGCGACTCCTGTTGCGTCACAACAAGTAAGTGCAAATCGAAATAGCACCCTAAGAAAATTCGTACTTACATACCCACACGTTATGTTTCTACCTACATATTTATTTTACTACATATACTAGATATTTATACTAGCTTTATACTAGATACATTATACTTAATGCCATAGGCATTCTCTGACAGTCTTCCTTAGGGAAGTGCAGAGATGAACCTTGGTAGGTGTAGTGTTATAGTGATATTAGGTACTTAAACATATATAACATACATATAATATATTTTATAGATACAATTACTCGTACTTAAATAAACACATATACATAAATATAAACATATAAAAATATATGTATAAATAAATATTATCAATTACTTATAATCGAAAAACGTAAACAATAACAAACGTAAAAAATGACGTAAAACTTATGCACTTTTGAACACGATTGTCCCGTCGTTTTAACCGATTTAAAAAAAGGGGGTTGACAATTCGGCTATTTTCCTTTTTTCCAGGTGAACCGATTTTAATAATTATTTTTTATCTGAAAGTAGATGCTTCTCAAATGAACTCGGTTAATTTTATACCTACTCTTTAAACGCTACTCTATAATAGTTTCTGAGTTATACGTAATGATGCAAATTTAATTAACCACGATTAGATTGATGATAACGTAATGTTGTACTTTGGGAGGTGTTAAAGGAAACATCTTCTTGCGTGTATTCCATGTTTAATAATCATCTTAATCCTAGTTTACAACTATGAAGAAGCCTATGTTTCTAGGTGGTCCGCCTTATTAGGGAGACATACGAGATTACACCTCTTAACTATGTTATATACTAAATGCTATGCTAATACTATGCTATGCTATGCTATAATATACAAGTATACACACTTCAATAATATACAAATTTTATTTTGTAGAAGACGATTTTCTTTTTGAGTTTTGTATTACGGTTACACCGATTACACATTTTCCGAATTTCTTCTTCTTCTTCCGAGTCTGGTCTTCATTGCTTAAGGTCGTTTCCAGTTTGAAATGTTGACCGCTCGATGCATTTATATTTCCGAATTTAACATTCGAGAAATTTCAAATCAATCAAAGGGATACTCAAATCGATCTATCGAATAATCTATAGATTAATACGTGAAGCAAAACCTTTGTACCTCTTTTTACGAAAATTGCGCGAACGAAGGAATATAAATTTCCCACACTTATAGAGAATACAGAGGAGTGCAGAATGCAATTTTTTTTTAAAATATAAGTATAATACTTTAAATCAATAAGAAAATATTACACACACTACCATATGTATTTGACACACAAACACATATATAAACTATATTTATTGTCAAACTTTTGTTATTGCTTAGTCTGTGGTCAAATTGAGAATAAGTTACTATTGTTTATCTTTAATATTATTTGTCTATAATGTGGTCTTGGCGAAATCTGTGAATAAAGAAGTCTATTAGTCTTTGACAATAGAATCATAATAGTGTACAAACTTATAATTACAATTAATTATAGTCGAATCTCGACTACTGCGGGACCATTCTCTCTGTGCGTCGTATTCCTCAGTTCTGAGGGTCGTGACCTTTACTGAGCACTTTTGTTAGGACTATGTTCCTCCATTCACTCCTGTCCTCCGCGCAGTGGATATTTTTTTTATATTTTTTTATTGCTTAGATGGGTGGACGAGCTCACAGCCCACCTGGTGTTAAGTGGTTACTGGAGCCCATAGACATCCACAACGTAAATGCGCCACCTACCTTGAGATACAAGTTCTAAGATCTCAAGTATAGTTACAACGGCTGCCCCACCCTTCAAACCGAAACGCATTACTGCTTCACGGCAGAAATAGCGATATTGATGCTGGATTCAAAAGTCGTCTTAATCTGATCGGACCAGCGCATAGGACTACGCCCCCTAGGCCTCTTTCCTTCCACTTTGCCGGTGATGAGAAGTTTTTCGAGGACCACTGGTAGTTTTATAAATATCTGAGAATGTTGCAATGATGTACAGAATGGCACACTTCGTCGCTACGGACATCACATCTACAGCACACAGAGCGACGGATCAAGCGACGGCGGTTACTGCGGCACCCCGCCCCGTGCCGCCTCCATGGACGCTCTCGATTCCTTAGCGGAACTGTCCCTGGCCGACTCACCGATAGAACCGGACTCGCAATCCCGGGAATCGTTGCTCTCGCCAAAGTCTCTCCTGGAACGAGCCAGAATGAATGTTGGGTGAGAACTTTATCTATACTAATATTATAAAGAGGAAAAATTTGTTTGTTTGTTTGTATTGAATAGGCTCCGAAACTACTGAACCGATTTGAAAAATTCACTGTTTGAAAGCTACACTATTCCCTAATGACATACTTTAAACTTTTTTCAAAAAAATTAGGGATCTTTACTAAAACTCTAATAGTGTAACCTAAGGTGTAAAAAAATTACCTAAAATATTCTTTACATCGCGTACCCTGCGAAAACTATTGATGATAGAATAAAATAATTTACTACGACTTTGTTATGCGCAATAAGCTTTCTTTTATTTTTAAAATAAAACAACGTCAAATATCGTTGAAATTTTTGTTAAAGACCCGAGCTGAGCCGGAGCGGGCCGCTAGTTTTCTATATGTAGGTACCTTAGTATATTGTTCGGTTTTCACGAATCGTAGACTTCATTAAAACTACTTGAACATTTTAAGGTAGCGTTTTTTTATTGTCCTTACATTAGTTCCGACGTTTTGAATACTTCACAGTTTTCATGGTCCAAGGTTTTATTCGTCGATACAAACTGAGTCCAAACTACCGTCAATTTCAACACTTTTATAAGTTTCACTTCACACAAATAACGTTATAAAATTAATGTATTATTATAATAAATACCGTATTATAGGGTAAAACAAAAAAAAATGCGATTTTAAACCGTAAAAGGATTAGAGTTTTTATTATAATTAATAATATCAAACCTTACAAAATGCCCACTATACCAGCCTGAAGATTTGCCTGCCTATTTCTGCCGTAATGCGTAGCAGGCGTTGTACCTACTGTAAAACTGAGACTTGGAATTCATGTCTCAAGGTTGGTGACGGCATTTAGGTTGTAGATGTCTATGAGCTCCAGTAATCAGGTAGGCCATGAGCTCGTCCACCTATCCAAGAAATAAAGAACTAAAAACAAAAAAAATTGTCGTTGATTTAAACAAGCCTAGGGTCGATCAGTGGCCCCGGTGATATATGTAAAACTTAAAATGAAATGCAGTAGATAATTCACATATACATTTTTTTTTATTTAAAAAAGAAACCAGGTCAGATCTTCTTAGTTATCTTGAATAGTAACAATAACCTCTGAATCGTGCCGACAGATGGTTAGACTCGTCACTGTCCATCATGGAGCAGTACGTACGTGAATGGGACACGCTTCAGCTGCGGTTCAAGTTCTATTCGTTCTTCGACCTGACGCCGAGAGCTCAGGACGCGCCTCGACTCAACCAGCTGTACCAGCAGGCACGCTGGCAGATCCTCAACCAGGAGGTCAACTGTACCGAGGAGGAGATGATGCTGTTTGCTGCTTTGCAGGTGAGTTGAAGTGTCCAGTGACCGACATTCAAACTTATAAGGTCGGTGTCTTGATTGCATATTAATTTCGCAAATTATAATTTTGTTTATTATTTGGGTTTAAGGTTTGTTTTTTCATATACGATGTTATTCCTTCATCGTGGAACTCTTTCGTGAAAATTTGTTAAGTACGTTTTTCATTTTCATTAGTAAAGTTGGTATCTGCTGGTGGGATTCGAACACCGACACGGACGCATCGCTCGATACGAACGCACTGGGCGTATTATCCTTTAGGCCACGACGACCCCAACTTTATATTTTTCTGACAAATAGAAATTTGCAATGCCTGAATATAATGTCTTACCTACGTAAATCTATACACCTATGATAAATTAGGATGGTCCCACATTATTGACCTCTGAACGCTTCACGTCTCGTTCATTCAATAGTTTTACCAATGGGAATTTACATTGCAATAGATTTCAAAGGTCGAATCGTTTGCCCGGCCTCTAAAGTTTGAGATTCATTTATCGTAATCTTTTTTTAACTGTCATCGTTGTAGATTTTAGACTTCTGTTCTAATCTTCAGCGTCTTTAGAAATATATGCCCGAATTAATGTGGAATTTTCCATTCTATTTGGGCTAATAAAACAGTTGATTGCTTCCCACAAACTCGATTTTATTTCCGTCTTAACAAGTAAATAAAATATAAACGTCTTTTTCTTTCGAATTACACTACGTCTGTCCGCTGTTGCGTCTCGTAACTATCCTCATTCCTCGTTTCGCTATGTGTCAAACATTCATTCGCCGTCTCTCTTACTTCCTAATACGATATCTCTTATCTCTCTCAGTCATACTCTATATTCTATATCTGTCATTCATCCATACATTAATTATTATTATACTTTCCTTGCAGCCGTCTCTCTTACTCTCGAACAGGATATCTCCTATCTCTCTCAGTCAGTCATACTCTTTAACTGTCATTCGTCCATAAATTAATTATGTTTTCCTTGCAGCCGTCTCTCTTACTCTCGAACACGACATCTCCTATCTCTCTCAGTCAGTCATACTCTGTCTGTTATTGATCCATACATTAATTATACTTTCCTTGCAGCCGTCTCTCTTACTCTTGAACACGACATCTCCTATTTCGTTCAGTCAGTCATATTCCATATCCGTCATTCATCCATACATTCCGTTCCTACATTAATTATGCTTTCCTTGCAGCTCCAAATCGAGTTACAGACCCTGGCCGGAGGCAGTGCCGAAGCTGCCGACGGCTACGGAGCCAGCGCTGGCAACGCTTCAGCCCCGGAAGACGAGATCGATGCTGCGCTCTGCGAGCTGCAAGCCCAGCTGGAGGGTGGACCCCCCGCCCGACAAGACATCACACACGTCCCGGAACTGGCCGGATACCTCAAGTATCTAAGGTAACGTAGATTGAGGGGAATCGGGGCCCTTTCCAATCCAACATAAATTTTTAATGGTTTTTCTTAGGGTAATACCAATTAAAATTATTCCGGACGCTTAAATTTTTATACACGATGCGTTATTATTAGGGCATATTATGTTAACAGCGATAGGACTACCCGCAGGCGACACGTAAGTGCAGCACCCGTGGGATATTGGGTAGGGTTGTCGCATAAGATGCATGTGACTAGGATATGTATGGAAATGGCAGTGCAAGGTAGAGGGGAAAAGGTCGACCGAAGAAGACATGGATGGAGTGTGTGAATGACGATATGAGAGAGAGAGAGGAGTGAGTATTGAGATGACGGCTGATAGAAGAGAATGGAAGAGAAAAATTAGCTGTGCCGACCCCATCTAGTGGGATAAGATGGAGAAAAATGAAGATGCGTTATTATACATAGTTCATTACAAAATATACACAAAAACTGAAAAAACTAGCTTGACCCGATTCACCTTGGCTTTGGGGTGAATCAGGCTACGTATGGGGACAATAGGGTTTTCGATAGGGCTGGCACTATTTAGTTGTTAGGTAGGTACTTAACTTTAGATAATTAACTTTTTAGTATATTTAATGAATTACAAAGCTTTGATGACTAAATTGAACTATTTAATATTCTTAAACACTAAATCTTCCCGCGTTCCATTACTACTATCTTCTTCAATTTGTCTCCGCCAGATGCTGAGTGTAAGTCCCTTCATATGCACTCCATTTTTTTCGGTCTCTTACCTTTCATATCAAGTCCCTTACCAGTTATTTTGACCAGGACATCAGTCCACCCCATTGGTTACTGAGTGAACTTAATCCTCCACTATGGAAACTTGAATCCCACCGAAATTTTACATAAAAATAAATTGAAATACAACTGTATATTTGTTTAAAGCAAAGCAAAACCGAATCGTACAATGAACAGACCACATAATAGAGACACTCTGTACAGAGAGGAAATTAAATAAAGGCGAAACAAACGGAATTCCTACCAAATATTTTGCGGGACTATTAAAATATTGAATTTCTATACACATTATACAGACATTCTCCATTCTCTTTACTTATTTACTTAATTAATTAATTACTATCAAGTATTCTTTCGGTACATTAGATTAACGATGGAATAATAATAAATTAACAATTACGTTTTTATTCTTTCACGCGATAACGGTGCGTTTCTTCACTCAGCAAGTGTAACAACGAGTATTGTGCCATCGCGTAAGAAATTGATATAAATACCCTCGAATGTTAAACATGAACTAATTGAATGTGTTCAGACAAAAGGGATCCAATAAATAACTTTACAACAACCGCGTTTTATCAAAGACAAAATAACACGTCAATTATATTTGTTTTCATTGTAATTGCTTATGAAGATAATTAAGAACAGATTTTTTTTAGTATAGCATTGCTTGGGTCCTTTTTGCATAACGTGCAATTTATTTGTATGTCGTTGGATGTGTTGTACATTTCACTTTTTGTGCAGTAACTAAATTATTGTTAGCGAAAATAAATTTGACGTTCCATTCTCATATCTTATTTTAAACAATTGCTTTTACAACATAAATAAATGAATTAAAACAATTTTTTTGTTAGAGTATAAAAATATACAGTTGATATTTCATTATGTTTAAAATTTCAACAATTAATTAAACTATAGCAGTGAATGAGGATAAAAATTGAGTTCGTTATTGAGAATTGTGCGTCAAAGTAAATTAATTAACCCAAATTTCAATAATATTGTTGGTAATGAACGACAATGAATGTTTATCATACTTACTGTGTTGTAAACAAAAAAATGTTAATTTCCTTAAAATTATATTCCAGTTGTAATTATGTTGAAGTGATATTGTCTCAGTTGTAGCTAACCATGACGAGTTATATATTTTTTTAAATTAAGTTTTCAACATATACTTGAATTGTAATAATAACTTTTTTACTGTTAAACCAAAGAGCATATTATTGTCTGTGAAAAGACTAAATCAAGGACAATTAAGCTTAGTTAGCTTTGACTGACTCGGTGGTACAATAGTTAGCGCCCCTGACCGTGGCGCCGAAGTTCGTGGGTTCGATTCCCACATTGGGCAAACGTTCGTCTTATGAACAGGTTTGTTTGCTCTCTGTTGCTGTTGTCTGGGTGTTTATATATGTGTATACACAGGGAATCCTAAGTTGGAGACGGATGACCGTGCGTTTTTTTCCCTACCTATTGTAGTAACCTTGAAGGGTTATTCACCGAACCAGTAGGTGAGCTCGTGGGGTTCAAACCGGGAGTGTTACTAACACTGGCCTTAGCAAGAGCAGTGCTTCGCAGAATCTACCACCGGATCGGAAACGCGACCCACTGAGAAGATCCAGCGAGAAACTCAGTGGGCTGTGTCTGTGGGTTAATTTACTCGTCGAGCACTTCGTTGCAAGCGACGGGTTCGACGAGGACGGTGACCGGTGACCATGCGTGATTTGTTTCCAATCGTTATAACAATTATAAAAATTGCAACAATATGTTTTTAAGAACGTATGTATGTATGTATAAAGCAACGTCTCTGTTGACACGTATTTTTTTTTCTATTGCCCTTGTAGGCAGACGAGCACACGGCCCACCTGATGTTTAGTTACGGTTAGTGGTTACCGTCGCCCATGGACTTCAGCAATGCCAATAGCAGAGCCAAGCCGCTGCCTACTAAATAGTCTCTAAATAATAACTAAACTAATCTTCTCAGACCGAAACGTTTCACGTTGAAAGCGTACAAGCGCGGGTGGATATCGTGCCGCGACGGCGTGCTGCGCATACACGGCTCGCAGGAGGCGGCCGCGCGCGGCGAGCCCCCCTCGTGCGCCGTCGAGCTGCGCGGGGCGGAGGTAAGCTTCGACTAACACAGTGCTTCTCAAACTTTTTTGAGCCTTGTTTTTTTTCATGGCTTAGATGGGTGGACGAGCTGACAGCCTACCTGGTGTTAAGTGGTTACTGGAGCTCATAGACATCTATAACGTAAATGCGTCACCCACCTTGAGATACTGGTACTTTTACTGATACTTTTACTGGTGGTAGGACCTCTTGTGAGTCCGCACGGGTAGGTACCACCACCCTGCCTATTTCTGCCGTGAAGCAGTAATGCGTTTCGGTTTGAAGGGTGGGGCAGCCGTTGTAACTATAATTGAGACCCTTAGAACTTATATCTCAAGATGGGTGGCGCATTTACGTTGTAGATGTCTATGGGCTCCAGTAACCACTTAACACCAGGTGGGCTGTGAGCTCGTCCACTCATCTAAGCAATAAAAAAATAAAAAAAAGATATAAGTTCTAAAGTCTCAAGTATAGTTGCAACGGCTGCCCTACCCTTCAAACCGAAACGCCTACCTACCTAAGCAATAAATAAATAAAAACATGCGGACAGAATCATATATATAAAGATTGTAAGTAATATGGATTCTTGGTTATTCGTAAACAATTTAGTAAAATGTTAAATTAAAATTAAAAATTATGAATTAATTTACTTGTTTTGTACGCCAAATAAGTCGACTCGTATGAGACGTGAAAGCTACCTTATAGGAGAGATTTATTAAAAGTTAATGTTAATGTCTTGTCTGTCTATCAATTATTATCTGAAAGGAAAACTGACGATAAAATTAACAATAACGAAATTAAGAATTTCTATTTAACATTAAACGTAATGTATACTGTGCGTATGAAATTTTTGCTTTACATTTCTGGTTCACCAAATATCTAAAAGAAAATCATTCATACTAGGTAACCTAACTTAATAAATTAATGTTTTTTTTAGAACTGGAATTTACATGTACATTAGAAAACACTTGTAAAGAAAATGTGGGGTATTTAAATTCGTAATACGTAGAATGTATTACATATTTAAACAGTCTTTTTCTTTTTCGTCGATAACGTATTCTAGCAATTTTGTTTTTAAACATTCCAGGTAACACCGGACGCTCATCCGGCTTCTGGTAGATACAGCATCAAGTTGGAAGTGCCCTCTGAAGATTCGATGCACGAGATGTGGTTGAAATGTGAAAACGTGAGTGTGTCTCTAAATTTACTGGTGGTAGGACCTCTTGTGAGTCCGCGCGGGTGGGTGGATACCACCACCCTGCCTATTTCTGCAGTGAAGCAGTAATGCGTTTCGGTTTGAAGGGTGGGGCAGCCGTTGTAACTATACTTGAGACCTTAGAACTTGTATCTCAAAGTGGATGGCGCATTTACGTTGTGAATGTCTATGAGCTCCAGTAACCACTTAACGGCAGATGGGCTGTGAGCTCGTCCACACATCTAATAAAAAAAATGGTCTTGTTCGTTTGTTGTTTCGAAGATAAAAATCAACAAGTTATTTTATTAAATATCGCAATAGATTCCGAAGAATATGTCGGTAGTCAATTAATTGGTAACGATTATTCCTAGTTGGAATTTAATACGATTATTTCATTTTGCGAATTGTGGTTATGATAAACTTTAAAACGAAAATATATTGGACTTTCAAAATTATTACTTTAATTTTTTTGTTGCTTAGATAGTTGGACGAGCTCACAGCCCACCTGGTGTTAAGTGACCAATGAAGCCCATAGACATCTACAACGTAAATGCGCCACCCATCTTGAGATATAGTTCTAAGGTTATCTGATTTGTAAATTGGTAGATGTTTTTGTTTTTCTTTTCTTTAAGTTTCTAGAATAAAATTTTTACATAAATTATTGCTTTAAATGTTTCCTATAAAATAGTCGCTTAAAATTATATGAGAAGTATTTAGAATTTTAGAAGCCAAAAAAAACGGCGCGCGGGCAAATTTGTGCACGTGATTGAAGTGAAACTTCTTTTTCGATGTGTAGTATTGTGGTTTTCTTCATTTTTCATCCTTAAATCACATTGTACTTGTAATAGGAACGTTGTGTATGAAAGATGCGACATCCTCAACATTTATATTATATATATTTTAAATTATAGATAGAAAAATAAATAAATATAAATATATACTTTAAATACTCCATTAAAATATTGGATTCGTTGCTAACGTTCGCGCTGGCCTGTAACAGGTACACTACGCGCATGCATTCGAGTGCCCAAGCATTCACTCTCGCTCTGTCTCTTTCTATTCCATGGTAGCGTTAAACGTTTAACGCAACCCTGTTGGAAGTCGCCGAAGTCGTCGTGGCCTAAAGGATAACACGTCCGGTGCATTCGTATGTAGCGATGCACCGGTGTTCGAATCCCGCAGGCGAGTACCAATTTTTCCGATGAAATACGTACTTAACAAATGTTCACGATTGACTTGCACGGTGAAGGAATAACATCGTGTAATAAAACCCGCAAAATTATAATTTGCGTAATCACACAAAAAAAGAAAAAAAAACTTATATTTCAAGGTGGGTGGCGCATTTACGTTGTAGATGTCTATGGGCTCCAGTAACCACTTAACACCAGGTGGATTGTGAGCTCGTCCACCCATCTAAGCAATAAAAAAGAAAGTCACATTAGAAGTTTCACTTCAATTATATAATAATATATTCTATGTTAATGCTTCTAATGTCGAAATATACCAGGAGGATCAGTACGCGGAGTGGGTGGCGGCGTGCAGACTGGGGTCGCGCGGGCGCTCGCTGGCCGACGCGCAGTTCGCGAGCGAGGCGGGCAGCGTGCGCGCGCTGCTGGCGCTGCAGCGGCCCCGCCCCGCCGCCGCGCTCTCCGCGCACGCGCTGCCGCACAACCTGCAGCCGGAGAACTACCTGGCGCCGCGGTACCTCAAGAAACTCAAGTCCAAGGTAAAAATTAAAAATACATCATCATCATTCTCCTGCCCTTCTCCCGGGCACCTGGCGCCTGATGCAAAACATTTTCTACTTTCATACTCCCCTATCATATACCATTTCTTCGCTCACTCCCCTCTTACACTTAACGTCTTTCAGGCAACCCATCCATTTTTAAAGTAAAACTTCTTTAGAATCGTTGTGATTTCAAACTCGATGAAACGAAAAAATAAGTCCCTAGAGACACAAACATAATTGTATGTATAGGATTCAGCCGGCGAGAGAATGAGATAGAACAGACGTTCTCAGTGTAGTGTTTTTTTTAATACAGCGCCATCTATGAGATGTTTTAATACTAACGTGTGTATGAAACCTCATGTACTGAATTTTAATTTAGGATTATACGTGAAGTTAAAATATCAATTCACAGAGGGCGCTCGCTACCTCATACTATAAAAGATGATTTACAATTATTTACTAATGACAAAATTTTACATATACTTATACATTTAGGATAATTGTATTTTAATTTTTGAAGGTTTCACTTCTAATACGTGTGAATTGCACACATGCTATTTTTTTTGGCAATCCTTCCCTTTCATTTTTGGTGGTTTTTTAATCATATTTAATATATAAAAAAATCTTTTGAAAGCTTCACTTCTACCACGTGTGAATTGCACACGTTTTTTGAAGTTATACTTCTTTAGACGCGTTATGAAAAATTGATGAGAGTGAAATTTTACGATGCGCGCGCACCGTGATAGTTGTAGTTGCCCACTAGGGCAACTTCGTTCTGTTAATTTTGTTTAATGTAATGAGCGATTTAGTAATCGCTCATTACAATACGACCGACGTAACTTGGCGAGTCTGAATATAGCCGCAGGTGAACTTTCGCGCATGTACACTCGTAAAAAAAAGTGTTATTAGCATCCATTTTTTAGTAATATAAATGACAAATTTATTATTTAATATAATTCATACTAAATATTATTAAATTGTTAACGTTAAATATTTATTATTAATTATTTAATATTTAAAGAAATGGAAATAAATTTTATAAAAATAAAGTATAACTTCTTACGCGCGTACATAAGTAGCACCCTTTTTGTTTTCTTAGCTCTAACTCTTTCGCTATACAATACCGTCTTTACCATATAAGGGCACACGGGGCCCGTGCCCAGGGCCCCCATTCTCAGGGGTCCCCGAAGGACCGACAATTTCTCTCACACATTTATTCTCAAAACCTTTTTGTTGGGCACATTACACTTTTTTCACAAATCAGTAATTTGATCAGAATGTATTTACAAGGCATATACTACGCCATTATATCGATGACTGCGCCTATTTCAACTGTACTAATTAATAATATTTCCGAACGTATCCTACCTAATTTACTAAGTACACCATCTAGCGATCACGATAACGGAAACCCTTATTGTGATCGTAACCAAAAAACCAGCAGCATTCTAATATCATTAATGACACATTATATCATACTGTATTTGATTACCTATAATAAATGGTCATACTCAATAAAAAAATGTTATTATAATTCGCTTTTTTTACTTTCCAAAAGGGTCTCAAATTCTTGTGTGCCCAAGGGCCCCAGCCTGATTTGAGACGTCCCTGCCTCTATATCCTTCCACATTCATAGTTAACACTCTCTTACCAGCCTTATTTTCATTTCGTCTAATCACATGTCCATACCATTAAAATTAAAAATACAAAAAATTAATATAAAAAAAACAATATTAAATTTTTTAATAAGTGTCCTATTCGATATGCACGTCCATCATTAACATACAAAACGTATGTATTCGTTCACAGTTCACTCAACGCTTGCTCGAGAGTCACGCTAACGTCAAAGACCTACCCCTCCTCGAAGCGAAGCTCCAGTACATCAAGACCTGGCAGAACCTCGCCGATTACGGACAGACCTTGTTCGTGGTTCGGTTCATGGGCCACAAGAAGGACGAGATCATCGGCATCGCCAACAACAGGATCATGAGGCTGGACCCGCACACCGGAGATCACATCAAGACCTGGAGGTTCAGTAACATGAAGGTACTTATTTCTATAACACTTTGGAACGTTTGGATCTCCATATCTTTTCACTTTATAAAACCATTGATATTATAATTTAAAATTATTTTTGAAATGTTGCCGCATCAACAATACTATTAAAAAGTCGCACTAGTAAACATCTAAAAGTTTTAATTCTTATGGATAAAACGAAACACTTCTGTGATTAAAAGAAAATGGATCGCGAAAAATTACCCTAAAAATACATACATAGGTTTATAATATTTTAAATTATTATATTAGTTATAATTCCGTCATCCCAAATTGATAGTGACATTTAATAAGCAAATAAACATTTACCTTTATAGTTCAGTAATGCAGATGGAAATTCGCGGCAAATCGAATATTTTCTTTAATAAATTTCCACAAAAAGTGTGCGAGTTTTTAAACGTTCTCGATCGCGTCAAAGTTAACGCAAATTAGTAGTAGAGCTAGAACGTTTGCCTGCGTTTGCCGCTAGGGGCGCTGTTCCAATTCCATACAAATTTAAGTTAACTTTTACGCTATCGAGAACGTTAAAAAACTCGCACTAAGCACACCGAATTAACATTTCGAACTCTGGTCGCAGGCCTGGAACGTGAACTGGGAGATAAAGCACATGATGGTCCAGTTCGAGGAGGACAACATCATATTCTCCGTACAGTCGGCCGACTGCAAAGTCGTACACGAGTTCATCGGCGGCTACATATTCCTTTCGATGAGGTCCAAGGATGCCAACCAGACGTTGGACGTTGAACTGTTCCACAAACTGACCGGCGGGTGGACGTAATATCTGACAACCCTATTTTTTTTTTTTAATTATGCGACGCTCGTTTTGAGCATATACATTGTTTAATTATATTATAAATTTTTTTATTTGAAATATTGCAGTTTCGAAGTGTCCAATAAAAAATCCGTCATTTATATTATTAGCACAGTAGAAACATTCGTGAATACTATTATTTAAATTTTAAAATTAAAAAACCACTTTCGATGCTAACGCTAAAGTTACATGCAAAATACGAGATACATCAAAAGGAAAATATTAAAACAATAAATTAATGAATCACAGTAAGTTTTAATGGCCTTCGGGAGTGCCTTGAGTTATAAAGGTAATAAGTAAAAGTATGAATGTAGTGTATTTTTGTACGAAAAATTAATTAATCAATATTTACATTAAGGTCTTATAATATATTGTAGTTAGTGCTTCCAAAATTAACGTTATTTAGCGACCGTAATCTTATACCAAAAATGGTTATTTGATGTGGAAGCTAAATTGTATGATGCTTTCAGCCTTCAGATTATAAAAATATATATTTAAATCTACTTTTGGAAAGCTAGAATTTATGGAAACTACTAAATATTTTATTACTATCAACCTATTGAAAAGTGCCATTATTACGCTTGGAATTGTCTTGGTGCTTTTGTGGGCTTATGGAGAAATTTCTTAATTTAGACACGAATAAGGATTTATATCGTTATTTTATCATTGTAAATAACATTAGCTAGGTATTAAAATGTACACCACTGTTGGTCGTATCAATTATCAATATATATGCTGTATACCTTATTTAATAAAGTTATTGACAACTAGTCTCATCGAGATCGCATATAATGCCGTCGTATTTAAATTATACAATACGAGTATTAACAATGTAATTTTGCCTTTATTGTAATGTATATTGTAAAAAAAATATATTAACGTATTCACTTATTCAATAATATAGTGTTTATAATAAAATTAAACTAATAAAAGGGTGTTTTTTTTTTTCTTTTTATTAATATTGCGACAAATATCTTTTATGGTATCGAGAGATTTCAGTTCTTGTTGGAGGTATGTTGATGACTAAGGTACATGAGCCGGCAACATCATTCACTTTGATTTTTGAATTTGAAACTGACCAAAGAACGTTGGGCATTTCATCATCAGTTTTCCCTTTGTACTCTTCAGCTGCTAACGTATCTGACTGACCACACATTGGCCTGGTGAAAAAGAGCAATTTTGAACCTGGAAACACACTAAAGATTTATTTACAAATCTTTCACAACCAAAAATACTTTTTTTATTTACGTGAATTTTACCTAAATGGCAAATGGCAGCTGGCGGATTCGTAAAGTAAGTGATCAACTGCAATTTCGTATCTATGCCAGGTCGAAATCTATAGAGATGGCTAAAATAATTTTGAGTGCAATAAATGTAATTATTGAATGACGTCATACAATTTGGTCTAATATCTGTTAGTATGACTGTGGACCATCTATCAGTTTGCCCTAAGTCCTCANGAATTTTACCTAAATGGCAAATGGCAGCTGGCGGATTCGTAAAGTAAGTGATCAACTGCAATTTCGTATCTATGCCAGGTCGAAATCTATAGAGATGGCTAAAATAATTTTGAGTGCAATAAATGTAATTATTGAATGACGTCATACAATTTGGTCTAATATCTGTTAGTATGACTGTGGACCATCTATCAGTTTGCCCTAAGTCCTCATATTGGTAAATATTCTTCTGACCTGATACATAAATAGAATTATTGTGTACGCACACAGCTGGATTTTGTATTGTATCTGGTAATTTGGCAATCTTCCTGTGTGTTCTTTGTTTTAAATCATATATGACAGCCGTATCAAGTACAACTCTAAAATGAGAAAAGCAAAATTTATTATTGTAAAGTGATTTTATCAAAATTTCAAGGAACAAAACAATTTATAAAATATTACCTTTAGTGACTATTATTTCACAACAAAATAGGCACATAACTGTGAATTGTCGATGCTCAGAGAATACAGAGTTAAAATAAATAAAAGAAACCAACCTAAAACCACCTACACCTCCAATAATGAACAATGAGTCTCCCATAATAGCAACTCCACCATGTCTTCTCGATGGTAATTCAACACCATGCAAGATCCACTCCTTACGGAAAGTGTCATATACTTTAACATCTTTCATGAATACACTCGTACCTCTACCATGTTCTCCACAAACCAGAACAAGTTTGTTGGCACCCCATGCTACCACATTCCAACCCCATAAGTTTTTCTCTGCAACTTCCAACCATTTTTCAAGGCCTGTATCTTCACTAAATGTATACATATTATGAGATATCAATTCAGGTTTTGTATCTTTGACTATCCAGACTGGTACTGTGGGTGTGAATATCAGCTTACGATTAACACTTGCACTTACTAACTTAAAAACTTCAATATATACCCTGGCAGTGAACTTTTCGCAGAGTTCATCCTTCCTTTCAGTCAAAGTTATTATAGACAATTCACTGTGTTCAGTAATCTCTAAAATACAATCAACTACTTTAAGAGGCAAACTATCAACAAAATCCTTTATAAGGGTTTTTATTTCTTTGATATCATTATGACTCAGTCTTTGTATATCTAAACATCCTAAAACTATCAATATAGCATCGGCCCCTGTTTCTGAATTTATAATCCATTCGTAACCAAATCTAAAAACCTCTAATTCATTATCAGTATCTAAATATGGATGTGATAAATACCAAAATAGTCTATGAATATTTAAAATGTACTCTTTTTTCATTTGTTTAAAATTAAGTAATCCAAATGCAGCACTCAGTTGCTCTAATTTAGTATAAGAAGAGTTTTCTGCTATAATCATTGTCTCCATCCAGTTTGAGACAGAAAGTTGGAGATCTAAACAGTATTCAATCTTCTTAATTAATTCTGTTATTTGAAGAAAGTTCGCTGCGATTGACAATTCTCCAATAGTTGTCAGTGAGTATTCAGAGAGATCTATCAAACCTATTCTCATGTATTGAAGTATCATGTTCATTGAGTATGCATCAACCATCTGGAAGTGGATATAGAAAGAGTATTTTTTTAAATATTCAGTAATTTACAGTTCTTCTCATTTACAGTCCTTTTTTATTTTTAAGTTACACTATCATATTGTAGGTAGATATATAGTATTCCATGCAAGTTTATTGGACAGATATCAAATACATTATATTCTAACTTTTATTATTATTCTATCAGCCCACAGATGTGCTCTGCTGGACATAGGCCTCTCCCAAACCACAAAAATCGACCTGCACTGGTTGGGTCCAGCAGATCCCCGCGTACCTCAATAGTTGGTTGGTCCATCGTGTGGGAGGCGTAGGCCGGAAGACATCGTGTGGGTAGCCACACTATGTCTCCAGTACATTCTATAAATATTACATTTATAGAAACTATAGAATATTCTATTTATAGAAACTGTCAACAGCCTACCCTCAGCAAACGTTCCACAATGAAGTATGATTGAGGTACCATTAACATCAAGGAATCGCAAAATTATCAATTTACTACCCACTACTACTAGATAATTATGATTAAAGATTAAACATTTTGCGATTATTCATAAAGTTAAATCCATAATTATTGTTTTAATTGTTTGTCATTTTATACATTAATTTAATTTAGCTAACATAATTTATAATTTTCCTTACATCAATTTTTATTTCCTGTCGTTCGTTTTCAATATAGTTTCCACTGAACATTGCGCGAAAATAGTCGCTGTACTCGCACAAAACATTTTTGTTCGCCGTGAATCTCTGATTTTCTATTAAAAGTGTTACTTCTTGAGTGTCCTCCATCTCCTTATTAAAATCCAATAATCATATGTTATAAATGTTCAATAGATTTAAATAAATTTTATCAAAAAGCCAACCTGCAAAAATTTTAATAAATTCGTTAGGAGTGGCGGTACGGTATTCTGTATGTTTATGTTTACCTACATTCGTGTTTCTATGTTTACGACAACGCAGGGAGCAATTGTCACTTGTCAGTTGCACCTAACAGCTGATTTTGAGTAATAGGTTTCATTTTTCAAACTGGAAAGGCGAAGGTATGAAAAGGAAATGAAGTTGATTAATTTAAGACAATAAATTAGAATGAAATTAAATGAAACAAGATAATATGGGATGAAATACAGTCTCAACAAAATTATTTCGGATGATGCCGAGAAGTTACGTCCAGCAGATTTGTTTCCTTTTCCCACATTTATGCACTTTCACCGACACTAAATAGTGAATAAACCACCATTAATAAACACTTAAGCCGGAAGAAACACTAATTTAACAAAATAAAACGATTCACATAACTGTCCTCCTGGCGCGGCGGTCCCGCCAAAAATTTACGATTTACATTTTACTAATATTTAGTATTCCTATTTTTCCAAAAGGACAGGTGAACAAATGAGACCATACAGCCTTATCATTTTAATATACTTTTTTAACTCTCTGTACTACACATTAAATAACAATTTCGCGGGTAAAGACCAATTTTTAATTTATTTTAGGGCCTCAAAGACAATTTATATATTTTCTTGTTAAATATGTTATTGAAGTAAACGAGATGAAGTTGATTTAGTTAAGACTTTAACTTTATCTCCACTAAGTATGTGGTTAAATGAAACGAGTTGATAAAATAAAATAAAGCCATAATAAAATGGTGGTAATTTACTGAAACTTTTTCAATGGACTTTTTGGAAGAAGTTAAGAATTATGTACTCAAGGGAAACCCTGTGTGAAAAATTTAAAGAAATTAAAGTTCTCACTATGCCATCCCAGTACATTTTTGAAAATTTGATGTATGTTCGTAAACATATTGAGGAGATTCCTAAAAAGTCGGAGATACATAATAGAAATATTAGGAACAAACACAGGCTTGTTGTGCCGATGAGTAGGTTACATAAGATGCGAAATTTATTCGGGTGTTTGTCTGTGCGCCTGTACAACAAAATCCCACAAGATGTTCAGAACCTACATAGACATAGGCTTAAGAAAACTATTAAAGAACATCTGTGCAATAAATAAATAAAATAAAAAAGAGAAGATTGCACAAAGTGGGAATGAGTTGCTCGCTCCGGACATTTCAATATTGCAATAATTGTTACGTTACAATATTCATTGTAAAAATTAATAAAATAAAAAAATCTAATATAAAAAAAAAAAAGACAATATGCCCGCTGAGTTTCTTGCCAGTTCTTCTTAGGACGGAGGCTAGTTTTTGTGAATTGGCGGTAGTTCTTTTTGACGTTCAACAAGTATGTACTTTCATTTATGTTAANTTAGGGCCTCAAAGACAATTTATATATTTTCTTGTTAAATATGTTATTGAAGTAAACGAGATGAAGTTGATTTAGTTAAGACTTTAACTTTATCTCCACTAAGTATGTGGTTAAATGAAACGAGTTGATAAAATAAAATAAAGCCATAATAAAATGGTGGTAATTTACTGAAACTTTTTCAATGGACTTTTTGGAAGAAGTTAAGAATTATGTACTCAAGGGAAACCCTGTGTGAAAAATTTAAAGAAATTAAAGTTCTCACTATGCCATCCCAGTACATTTTTGAAAATTTGATGTATGTTCGTAAACATATTGAGGAGATTCCTAAAAAGTCGGAGATACATAATAGAAATATTAGGAACAAACACAGGCTTGTTGTGCCGATGAGTAGGTTACATAAGATGCGAAATTTATTCGGGTGTTTGTCTGTGCGCCTGTACAACAAAATCCCACAAGATGTTCAGAACCTACATAGACATAGGCTTAAGAAAACTATTAAAGAACATCTGTGCAATAAATAAATAAAATAAAAAAGAGAAGATTGCACAAAGTGGGAATGAGTTGCTCGCTCCGGACATTTCAATATTGCAATAATTGTTACGTTACAATATTCATTGTAAAAATTAATAAAATAAAAAAATCTAATATAAAAAAAAAAAAAAAAAGACAATATGCCCGCTGAGTTTCTTGCCAGTTCTTCTTAGGACGGAGGCTATTTTTTGTGAATTGGTGGTAGTTCTTTTTGACGTTTAACAAGTATGTACTTTCATTTATGTTAAATAAAAATTGTTTTTGATTTTGATTTTGTTTTTTTGTAATGAACGTCAAGCGGTTTTGTTTCATTCTTTTACATTTTTGTACTTTTGCAGTTGGTAAATAGTTAATGACCCACCACTATTACACATTTAAACCTGAAAAAAAAAACACAAAATTAACAAAATAAAACAATTCACACAACTCCGTTCCTCGCGTTCCCGCCAAGGAGCCCGAGCCGATTCAAAGATGGGACTTTTAACTATCACCATTCACCCATGGAAGTGGTTCAAAACACTCCCTTAATGGTTCAAAACTCCTTAGTTGAACCATAAATATTGTGTTGTAGATAATACCTACACTTAATATGGTGTACATCTATGATTGTATTGACATTGATGCGGACGTGACTTTTTGGCGGGAACGCGAGTAGTGAAGTTGTGTGATTTGTTTCTGATCTCCTTCCTCCTGATATTCCTCGCCCCATTGATCTCAAATCTCTTCTTTCCCTTGTCAACTCCCCTTTCGTTTATATTCTTAGTTCATTCATTATCCATAATAATATTAAGCTGTAGTTTGTCTGTCTGTTATCGAACTAACCCCTGTATATATATGTTGTATGTAACTAGTCAGGTCATAAGTATTTTCACACAGTAAAAACTTTTCTTTTAGAATGCTGGCCACAAAAAAGTTTATTGAATTCGAATTTCGAATTGTTCATGAAAATAAAAATGTATACTTTTAGAATTTTACTCATTTTTAAATATGGAGTGGACGTTTAAAGAAGACCGTGTTGCAGTTATTGCGTTGCATCGTTGCGGTTACGCGCCAATTCAAATTTTTAACATACTGAAAAATTTGAATATAACCAAAAGACCGTTTATCGTACCATCAAACGATACAATGAAGACTCTAGTGTAGATGACAGGTCAAGAAGTGGTCGCCCTCGGTCTGTTAGGACTCCAGCAGTGATAAAAGCTGTGAAGGCGCGAATTCAAAGAAATCCCAAACGTAAGCAGAAACTGTTGGCCCTTCAGATGGGGTTAAGCAGAACCACGGTGAAAAGGGTGTTAAATGAAGACNTATACTTTTCTTTTACCTATAGTACTTACATAAACTAACTGATAAACACATTAACCTTCTTTACATCACGCAATTGAGTGATAGTATAGGCTAAAAAATCTATTATAAGATATCAGTGACAACCCTAACAATCCATCCCTATTTTGTCTTTTGGCGTTCCAATTTTGTGTTTTCTCGTCCCTAATTTTTCCAGTCTCGTTCGAAATTACCCTACATACGTCCCAATTTTCCCCAAAAAGAAAGGAAAAATTATACATTTTTTATTTTGTCGAAATATTGTATTTAAAATAAGAATATTGCAACTTACCGTTTGTTGTGGTATTTCCAGGTGTATTAAAAACTTATATAAAATGTGATCTTATTGAAAAAACAACGATAATATTACTTTTTTTAAAAGTTCTGTAAGCTGTTTTAAAACGCACTTTTCAACCACTATTTTCAATTTAATTTGACGAATTTTTGGGACCAACTTAACTCATATTTAGTACTTCCATAGTTAACTTGGTTTTTCTTCTATACATTGATAAATATTAACATAAACAAAATTGGGTAGATTCCGTGCTACAGGTACTTTGAGAATCTTCCGCAGGTTTGTCCCAATTTACCCCAGGATCCCAATTTACCCCATGTCATGGTAACTATTTAAATTATTTTTTTCATTACTTGTAACACTGACATCTCAGTGACACTCTCGCACAAAAGTCATTCACACGCAAACAGCCTTGCCGGACTATACAAGCAATAAACAAAACACAAAAAAAATTAAATACACAAAATTATACTTCACTTAAACGAAATAAGAACCGTATTCGTGTGGCATAACGCCGCGTCGCGGATAAAACGTGTGCGTCAAAGAATAATTTAACAGATTGATTATATTCGAAGTGTAGATGTCGGCGAATCTGAAAAGTCTCCTGCTGAAATACGTGGGGTTGTGATACGTACGGAACACGCTACCGAACTGTGGGTTAAACACCGCCTTGATCTCATTCCTGGAACCGATATAATAACTCCTACATTGGGAGCATGAAAGCAAACACAAACAATACACAAGTCATTTATTGAAACGATATCTTTAAAACTACACACACAAACCATACCCTACACTGTTCTATTAAATTAAAACTTGATAATTATGTATTATTAGAAATGTTATTATTTTAAATGGTACTATGAAACTTTGCTCTAAGAAATCTTAAAGACAACAAAGGTTATAAAAAATGCAAATTATTTAACAATCTTCACTGTTGGATAGAGAGTTTGAAGTGGAAGCATTGCACCAGTTAGTTACAGAAAATATTGTTTTTAATATATTTTGGTAATGTGATGTGCGTTCACAAATACTCAAGGATAATAGGCTAATAGTAATGTACTAATTTGTTGTTGATGAAATAAGCGACGGTTATCATTAAACCAGCATTTTTACTGGTGGCCTACTAGGACCTTCTGTGAGTCCGCACGCGTAGGTACCACCACCCCGACTATTTTTTGCCGTGAAGCAGTAATGCGTTTCGGTTTGAAGGGTGGGGCAGTCGTTGTAACTATACTGAGACATTAAAACTCATATATTAAGATGGGTGGCGGCATTTACGTTGTAGATGAATATGGGCACCGGTAACCAACAACACCAGGTCCGTCAGCTCGTCTACACATCTAAGCAATAATTAAAAATAAATAAACCATTTGCACGTCCATACAGTTTATTTCATTTGATTTAATCGAGAGCGTGTATTTTTTTATAAATCGTGAAAAGTTTGCATAAATAGATTTGAATGAATTAGTTACCTGAGGTAGTCCCTCTCGACCATCCACTGTGTGAGCACCTCCATTGCCTCCGGGTCCTTGTAGTCTTGATGGTCCTCAATCAGTTGCGTCAGCATTTGAAGCCAATTCGCGTTTTCCTTAAACGACCTCGTATTCAGTGTGTTGATCTCGTGCTACGAATTAAAAAAAAGTTTTTGATCAATTAAACGCTAACACAAAATACTAACCTAAAATTTAATGAGATTATAATAACAGAGACTAAGCTAGGTTTTTCTCAAATTGAATTATGTATTCTTAAATTGATCTTAAAGGGTAACAGGGAGGAACGAGATGCCAATTCACACTTAAGTATAATCTTAGGNATCTGACTTTTGGACAATGATTGGTAAATCAGAAAAACGAATTATTGACTTTGTATTCCATTGGCAGTCACAAAACTCTTCGGAACGACATCTTAGATAAATAACAGGTTAACTATTAACCTTTATTTAATGCAGGTTTTGAACCGTATTCTTTGAAGGAGACGATTATATTCAAATCAATCTGTATTGACATATCAATCATTTTTTTTTGTCCAAATGCACAGATTGCCACCTTTGATAATAGACGACTCATATGTCGAAGAGAAATGTGATTTTGTGCATTCGCTCTCTGAATTTCTTTAGTAACACAATGGCTACTTCTTTGTTTTGTACCAACACGGCAGAATTTATTCAAATTCTTTCTCCTTCTCGTCTCGAGTAGGGCAGTAGGTTTTGAAGGTGCGTGAAGCAGCGATGAAGACTCAACATCATATATGCTGTAGTCTTCTCGTCTCTCATCGAAGTAAATATAAAATCTGCCTACAACACTTTTTGTCATCTATTGTGAAAATCAAAATGTTTTATTTATTTATTTAAGTTCGTCCTCTCAGGCTCTTTGAAATCAAAATTTACTACCGATTCGGAATGCACTTTCACTACACATTATCAGTTTAAATTAACACAATGCTAAAGCGAATCTGTGCTTCGTGGTTTGTTACAACGGCTGCCCCACCCTTCAAACCGAAACGCATTACTGCTTCACGTCAGAAATAGGCAGGGTGGTGGTACCCACCCGCGCGGACTCACAAGAGGTCCTACCACCAGTAATTACGCAAATTATAATTTTGCGGGTTTGATTTTTATTACACGATGTTATTCCTTCACCGTGGAAGTCAATCGTGAACATTTGTTGAGTACGTATTTCATTAGAAAAATTGGTACCTGCATGCGGGATTTGAACACCGGCTCAGTCGCACGGCTCAATATACCGGGCGTATTATCTTTTATTCCACGAAGACTTCAAATATTTCTGATTATTTCCACAATATAGAAATGTTATTCTGTAAGATTCGATCACTTTCCCCGGCGCTAAATAAGAGTATATCTTGTGCGTCCGTAATGTCCAACAACTGTGAGTTTCTCTCGTGTCGTGATAAAACGTAGTAAATATACACGCATCCGTATAAATTATGAATGTTTTGTTTTTACTTTATTTATGATAGCTTCGTGGCTGTGCTATCCATTTTGCTGTTTTCTATATTAAATACAACCCGATAGAAAACGGCACATAGGTATGAATTTATTTTATCATTACTTAAAGAACAAATTAAAATCCGATTATAAGAGTTAAACACATCGATTGAATATAGCAATGGAACAATCGCGAAAGTATCTAATTTAACCAAAAAAAAAAATCAACAATAACAAGAGAAACAACCTTTACCTTCTTTGAAGTTGGCTAATATGTAAGAGCAAAATTATTTCAACAATTATTTCATCAAAGTTTGTTTGATGTTTGAAATTTATTGACGAACAATAAGTTTTTTTTTTTTTTTTACGTAATTGATATTCACTAAATCTGAGGTCTTTAATATATCTTAACTTACAATATACATTTCTGTATTTTTAATATTTAAAAATATGTGTTTTTGGCTCACCATCTATACGTTTGTACGTGGTTTATCCGATTTACTAGAGACTTAGTGGAGTATAAATAATTTGATGTTTTAAGATAAATCATAACCACAATAGAGCATGGTGGGGTGGTCACTACTGGGTGAGGGGTCTTTAGATTTTGGTAATGTTTTCAAAGTGACTAACTGTGAGTTCATTGATGATGGCTCCGGTCCTCCAGCCGTGTTCGAGCGTGACGTCAGCGAGGTCACTGTATGGATGGTCCCCGAAGTACAACACTTGATGTCCACACCACCCGGTCAAGTCCTGAAGCTGTTTCACGGTACCCTGAAACGATCAAATGAACGCATTCCATTATCTAGTTTCAATTTATAATAAGCAAGCCGTACACTTGTTTAATTTTTTAGATAGCCGCGCGTTAGCACCATGGCTCTACAAAGCTTCGCTGAAACCAACTTACCCGTGACGTCAATTGGGTTTAAACAACGACGATCTAATCTTTCTAACGACATGTTATTATAAATAATTTTGTTCATTTCACGAGCGAGCCTAGATGATAATAATAATACTAATAACTATTTAATCACATTATATGCTTATTATTTTGTGGTTAGATAATTGTTGCTCTGAATAAAACAACAATACGTATAGTAAGCGGCACGTAAGTTGGCAAGGTTTTGGTGTAGTGGGGGTAATGTCGCGCATGGTGCACATTGCAACAAAAAAATGATCACTTTTATTGCCCGCATATAATTTAAGTTTATTTAAAAAAAAATTTTTCGTAATTTGTCCTGTATAAGCCTTTGTGTTTAGAAGAAAGTTAAAGAAAAGAGAGGAATTCGTGAAGTGTATTAGGTGTTAAAAACAAAATACAATTAAAAGTTAAGAAGTTTATTTAAAAAAATATACTTAATATTAAAAATTATGTGTCGCCGTCGTCACTCATTTTCTAATAGTGCTACCCCTTAGATTAAATTTATGGTAGCACCTGAGCTGGTGGAAGGAGTTGGCTCCTCATCGTTGACATAACGAAGAGTCGCTGTCGTCACTGGCGTAAATAATAAAACGCTCAGTGACTGAATCGACTATATGGTCATTGGTATTTGGTCCTGGCATTGCAAACAAATTTAAAAGAATAACACCCGTAACAAAAACTAAATTTAAAACAATAATAACAACTCGTAACAAAAACTCAATATAAACAAAGGGCTCCTACAATTTAGTAGGCGCATGTGTAACCAGGAGCGAACGGAACGTGGACGCGGTGCGGGAGGGGAGGGTCGACTGACTCACCAATCGTGCGCTCGGAACGGTGTTACGTCTTTCCCCGCGTCCCGCTTGACAACCAAAGAGACCTAAAAACGACTTCTACGCATCTTACGACTCTTGCCAAGTTACGTGCCGGGGACTATACCTGTATACACGGAAATTGGATCGTAATAAGAATTCTAACCTCATAATAGATGATTCCTTTTTCTAATGAAGTAACCTTCTCCCAAATGTGACTGTTGGCGTTTTTATCGAATACTCTGATCGGCCTTGACACCTCCGTGAAGAACTTCGGCTTGTTAGCGTTGACTATCACGACATCGAAGAAGTCCCGCCAGTCGTGACCGACTAGCATCTCCATTCCAGCGTTACTGAAAATATACCAATATGATATGTAGATAGAATATAGAAATAATCGCTTTTATTTCTATTCGATAGAAGTTTTTGGTCTTGACTATAATTTTTAACTCAGCTATTTTAAGAAATCTAACTTTTGAAATTAAGGGGTTAAATTCATTCAATTCATGATTATGCATCTGTTGTCGAGAATTATTTTCTGATAATAAAAAATCAATCCTAGGACTACATTTAGTGAGCTGACTATTGAACTACTTACTACCAATTGACAAATACTGTCTTGTAATCTTTTAAATTTAAATTTCTTAAAAAAAAACTCACACAAAATGGTAGGGACTGTTTGTTACAAGGAAAAGTTTTTTGTCACTTTCCTGTAACATTTGGAAATAATTGCGTAATTTTTTATTAGGTCTTATGTATTCCTCCACATTCTGAGCAACGATCTTGTGCATTATTGGATGGCAGCTCTGCACTGAATTCTGAAAATCGAAGATAATTTGGGAATTAAACTCTGTGAGTCGCAGTTATGACTTATATATAGCCAAGAAATGCTCCAACGTATTTAACTTTTGGAAAATAATTTATTCAGCATTTCAACAATCCATATTGCACGATCACAAATAGCGGCCCGTATTTAGTGCTGGGAAATCTAGACATTTGCTTTCTGCGTTTTTAAAAATTTCCATTTGTATTATTAAAGTAACAGTAAGAAGTTATAAGTAAAACTTTGTATTAATGTCCCTGATTATTCTCGGTACATGCTATTTTAGGTGGTGGGGACGTCTTGTGACCCAGTACCAGTACATACCTCCACCCTGCCTATATCTGTCGGGAAGAGGTAATGGTTAACAGATTAAAGGGTAGAGCGGCCGCTATACTGTAATACTGAGACATAGAACTAATATGTCAAGTTGGGTGGCGGCATTTACATTGTTGATTACTATTGGCTCTGGCAACCACTAAGCACCAGGTGGGCCATGAGCTTGTCCATCCACATAAGCAATTAAAAAAATTAGTACCTGTAGGTTATATTGAAATATTGAAACATTAATTGAAAAGATATTTCGAATAACACATAAATATAGTATTCTATTTTGTGGAGCCATGGGGATATGTGGGCTTTAAGTGAACTAGACTTTTGTCGTCGTCGTGGCCTAAAGGATAAGACGTCCGGTGCATTCGTATGCAGCGATGCACCGGTGTTCGAATCCCGCAGACGGGTACCAATTTTTCTAATGAAATACGTACTTAACAAATGTTCACGATTGACTTCCACGATGAAGGAATAACATTGTGTAATAAAAATCAAACCCGCAAAAATTATAATTTGCGTAATTACTGGTGGTAGGACCTCTAGTGAGTCCGCGCGGGTAGGTACCACCTCCCTGCCTATTTCAGCCGTGAAGCAGTAGCAGCAGTTTGAAGGGTGGGGCAGCTGTTGTAACTATACTGAGACCTTAGAACGTATATCTCAAGGTGCGTGGCGCATTTACGTTGTAGATGTCTATGGGCTCCAATAACCACTTAACACCAGGTGGGCTGTGAGCTCGTCCACTCATCTAAGCAATAAAATAAAAATAAAAAAACTGTCAAAACTGCTAGAAACTCCAGATTTTTCATCTTTTAGAGTAGTATCCAAGGGTAAATAAAATGCCTATTATTTATGAACAATTAAAACTCATGCAATATTTTAAGCTCACAGAAATCATGAAAAATGATGCAAAAATTGTTAAAGCAAACCTTGACATCTAAGAACAATATTTCAGGGTGGTAGTCAATGTGATTTTTTATAAAATACTCTGCAACATTACATAACAGGCCCATTTCCGGTACTGAGAATAAATCAGCCAAGTGCACCATCTTTGCCCGATTTGGCTGAAAAAAATCATGTATTTTGTGAAATCATTATTTAGAATGAGGGTCAGGAAATTACTTAAAGAAAATAATTTATATTTGCCATGAAATAAATTCAACACTAAGACATTCTAGTTAGTTTTATCAATGCTAAGATCCGTCTTTTAGCTTGTTATCTACGATATAGTCGTTGCATAATAATTACTGATTTCGTTAATGTTTAGAGATAAGGAATGCCTTACTTGATTAATTAATGATTGTATATCACTAATGTTTGACTAATAAATATATTACTTTTATTCGTATTCTTCGGTGTTTTCAGATGTGGTCATGATTCATATTTTTTTATTCCTTTTTATATTCATTTTATAGCATACAGTATACAAAGCGGTTTACACTTCTCAAGGTCACACATGAAGACAATGTAATCAAAATTTGTATATTGGACTTACAACATTAAAATGAATGAATGTTCAAAAACTATTTCAATTTTAATAGTATACCTTATGAGCCCTTGTGTCCCCTTCCACATAGGCAATTGGTATAATCCTGTTTTTGTACAATTTGAGAACCTCATCTGTTGATACAGGTGTGAGACCTCTGTACACAGCTCCAAATTGTATTTGCAGGAAAGAGTCAAGTTTTAAAAGAAGTCCCTTTTCAATGTCATAATGTAAACCTCGAACAGCAAAATTGGGTTTGTATTCCAGTTTCAATATTTCTGGAGGGTACTGAAAATGTGCATGATAATTTTAATATTGTAAATGTGCATAGGTATATTGAATTTCTAAATTTACTATTCTGAATATAAATTATAAAAAAAGAAGTGTTGGGTAACTGTTTAAAATATAGTAATAAGATGATATTTAGTTGTTTGTAAAAGGAGTGGCTTACATTGTACTTCTCTAACAGATATTCTCTACCAAGATTATAAAGCAGGTGTTCCATTGTGGGTTTATAGTGCGCCAAGGTATAGTCATAGTCAAATCCATATACTTGTACTTCCGAAAGGTCCAATTCATTGCACGCAAAAACACCTTTAGGATTAACATCTTGTGGAAGCTTTTTGGCTATAACAAAAAGTATTATGTCATTAACTGATACATCCATCCCAGTAATTAAAGAAAATATTTTTTTTATGTTTGGGAAAATAGTTTTTTTATGTAGTAAATTTTGTTCATAGAATGTTGTAAAATAAAGAGCTATTTAAAATATTACATATCTAAGTGTAAAATTTAAGCCAAGTGCCAATATCAATTATCTTTGTCGCAAATTTTTTGAAATTTCTGTACTGAATCTATACTACATGCTAGTAACAAATGTGATACTTACATCTACATTTGAGTTTAGTACGGCAATAGGCTTCATTTAACAGTTCCCTTGTAGAATATTTCTTCAAAGATAAAGCACTCTTTACTTCGGAATATTTTAATGTTTTCTGAATTAAACCCGTGCGAGAGGTTTTGACTCCAAGAAATAAATTACCAACCGAACTGATTAACAAAGACATTTTTACCGAAAGTTTTGAATTATTGTAAAATTATAATAAATGCGCTGATAGCTTCCAGTTCTTACAGCATTTGTGTACAAACAAAAAGATTAGTCTTATTTAAAACTTCCATATAAGATGGGCTTATTAATTATTTCAAGCATTAACGTAACTTAAAACAAACTGTTGCATAATTGTAAAGAATTATGTAGTATTCACATAATATTACAAAAATTCTGCAGTCTTTATTTCTGACTGCCTGCTGATTTCAATGTCGTTGACGTCAATCATGTCATCTGTCAAGGAGTTCAATGTTTTTTTTAGTCTATTAATAAGCAAAAGAAACAATGCTTCTAAGATTTATTTTATTTTTAATAGTAATAATTTGTTTTCAATTTTTGTCAGCATGTATAAATTTAATATTAAAAGGTGTCACAAAAAATCCCACTTCGCATCGATATGGCCAAAACTTATTTTCATACCTTATTACTTTTACTCCTGAACGTACCTAATTCTTTGAACATCCATTAAACAGCGTATTGTGAACGAGCATTCATTAAGACATTTTGCCCACGTCATTTCGGATACTCCCGATCCACTAACGGCACTTTTAGGTACCCCAAGGTCATAGGTTATCGTTCTCGTCGAACCTGTTGCTTGCGACGAAGGGCTCGGCTAGTAAATTAGCCCATAGACACAGCCTACTGAGTTTCGCGCCGGGTCTTCTCAGTGGGTTGCGTTTCCGATCCGGTGATAGATTCTCCAAAGCACTGCTCTTGCTAGGGTTAGTGTTAGCAACGACGTCAGCGACGACGCTGAAATGGTCTCTTAAGACCAGACCAAAAGATCAGCTTAGGTAGGACAAAAACACCCATTGAGCATTCTATAGCTTTCGTCTATACTACTCTATACAATGGAATAGATGTTATTTCAAAATTACGAAGTCTTTGACCTTTGACCTCTTACCTAAGTGTAAAGAATGACTACATGCCTTTCCTATTCGGCCCATATACTCAAAGTCACCAATGCACCCAAACAGCTGCACGCCTGCTTGTACTTCGAATGATCCTAATAATGTAAACGTGTTACTGCTTGGCGGCAGAAATATCGACCCTCTTATCGTGCCGCCGCTAATTACTTATCCGACCCAGGCGACGGGTCAACGCAAAGCCGCTGTCGCCTGAAACATGTCTTGTCGGATCCAACAGGTCACCGTCCTCGTTAAATCGTTAATTATGAAGAATTCGACGACCGAAGTAACCTATAGATAGGGCCCACTGAGTTTCTTGCCGAGTCTTCTCAGTGGCTTGTGAATCCGACCCAGTAGTAAATTCTGTGAAGCAATGCTCTTGCTAGGATTAATGTTAGCAAATCCGTAAGCTCATCTACTCGTCCGGGCGTATCTGGAATAGCCTGTTAGGCTAACAGCGAAAAGGTAGAAAAAAAAACAGAAATATGCAGAGCTATTAAGCAAATTGTGATTACATATTGCGGGTTTTGATTTTTATTATACAAAGTTATATAATCATCGCGGAGAGCACTCGTGAATATTTGTTAGTACTTATTTTCTTATAAAAAATTGTATCTGACGTATCTTGGTATTCGAATATCAGAATATTTTCCAGATATTAAATACACTTGATAGTCGCATTATTCAAAATAAATGCACAGGCAACAATGACTTCCTATCTTAGCAATAAAAAAATCAATAAGAATAAGAATGACTACATAAAATCAAGTTTGAAGCGTAAGTCACACTGGGTGAATAAAATTATGCACTTTAATAATGTTGTATAACTTTATTAAACAAAAATAACAAAACCTAAAAACATTTTAATGGCTCTAACACGATACAGGTTAATATCTATTAACTTATAAATGAGTCGTCTATTATCAAAGGTGGCAATCTGACTTTTGGACAATGATTGGTAAATCAGAAAAACGAATTATTGACTTTGTATTCCATTGGCAGTCACAAAACTCTTCGGAACGACATCTTAGATAAATAACAGGTTAACTATTAACCTTTATTTAATGCAGGTTTTGAACCGTATTCTTTGAAGGAGACGATTATATTCAAATCAATCTGTATTGACATATCAATAAATTTTTTTTGTCCAAATGCACAGATTGCCACCTTTGATAATAGACGACTCAAATATATTACCTTCATTATAATATAATGACATGGGTTTTATCTAGTTGCCTAAATAAGCAATAATTTTGCAAGCGGCAGTGACAAGTTAGATCTGTGGATAGCCACTACCGATTAGATTTTTACTCCTGTAACGGAAAGTGTGAGTCATGATACTGACATCGTTGTTGGCCAGTTTTAGGTTACACTCGCTGTCGGCACGAGTCACGAAGCACAAAGTATACAATGCCATTTCCAACTCAGGTGATGTACCAATGAACATAGAGTTAACCGGCTTGTCCACTCCTTGTTGGGTGAAGTGGAATTTAATCACTGCTCCACGCTGGAATAATATGCATTATATTATTTTCGTTAAAGCTCAAAATCGCTTAAATTTACGTTAGTATTGTTTCTGTCTGGTTTCAGCATTAAAACTCTTATGAAATGGAACGTAAGAAATGTTTGTTTTTATATCTATAGAGATTTTTATCGACACTCGAAACTGAGTTCACTTGTCATACTGTAGGTACTTAGCACAATATTAAACATAGAACACTTAAATATTGAAGTTATTACAATTTCGACGACCGTGACCATGATAACTGTATCCGAAACGACGAAAATAAGATGGTGACAGTTAAAAGCCGTAAAATTACTTTTAATTATACCTAGAAGTAACTTTAGCCTGAAGTTGAATATTTAAGTTTAAAGGGAAAGTTTTAGAAAGGACAATAGAATACACATTTATACTTACCTCGCCAAATTGTCTGTATTTCAAGTAACCTAAGTAATTCAGTCGGTTCGCTTCCTCTTCCTTTGAAAAATAAATCCAATTATGTAGACCTGAAACAATGATAAGTATTTACCTACTTTACTTTCTGTTATCACATGCTAGCACATGCTATTGCAGGAATGATATATGTACATAATCGACTGTTTACTAACCCCTTTTACTTAAAATAATCTATGTATTAGCATTTAAGCCAGTGACAACCATTTCAGTTTGCATAATAAATCAAATACTAAACCTATTACGAATACGTCGCAATTTGATACAAGCGCTACACAACTTAGATTTGCACAAAGTTTTGTAAGCTTTGAATGTTATCTTTGTAATGCTCTAGGTGGATAAAGGAGCTCATTGCCCAATTGGTTACATTTAAAATGTATAAGAACAGAATATGAAGGTTAACGGTAATTAGCAAAAGCATTTGTTTTCGTTGCTATGTTATATTATATTACAAATATTAATGTTCATTTGAGGCGTAATTTAGTTACCCACCAGATACTTCGCCATTTTTTAATTCAGATACGAATATGTGTTCAAATCCTGAACTACTGATTTTTCCTTTTCCCCTCGAGTACAAGCTAAACCAGAGCTGCTTTACAAAATCTCTTTGTTGTCTAGGATCCGGTGTGACATAACCTGAAACATAAATATTTCTCTAAAGTCACCATATGTATTGCTCTTATTTTATCTTGCAAGCGATCTTACGGGTTAAAGGGTCACCAAAGTTCACAGACATAACTAACTCGAAACAAATCATGCACGATCATCGGGCTTTAATTTAGGATTCCCTATGTTAAGGGTACTAGAGACTGACAAACATAATTATATACGTTTAAATATATACATAATACATACTCAAACAAAGAGCAAATAAATATGTTCATCACACAATATTTGCCTCATGTGGGAATCGAACCCACGATCCTCGGCGCAACAGTCAGGGGCGCTAATTACTGCACCACTGAGTCAGTCATCGGACATTTTTTTTATTGCTTAGATCGGTGGACGAGCTCACAGCCCACCTGGTGCTAAGTGGTTACTGGAGCCCATAGACATCTACTACGTAAATGCGCCACCCACTTTGATAGTTGAAGTTCTAAGGGTCTCAGTATAGTTACAACGGCTGCCCCACCCTTCAAACCGAAACGCATTACTGCTTCACGGCAGAAATAGGCAGGGTGGTGGTACCTACCCGCGCGGACTCACAAGAGGTCCTACCACCAGTAATTACGCAAATTATAATTTTGCGGGTTTGATTTTTATTACACGACGACACGATTATGTTATCACAACGGTGTTTCCACCGGACCTTTAGACGAGACAAAAATAAAATTTCAAACTAATACTTCGCAGCTGCCTAATCCACTACCACTAGTTTACGAAGCATTTTTAAACCACGTATAGGTACATCTATTCTGTATTCGATACAATATTTAACGTTTTAACTTAATTTCTTTACAGAAGAAGAGAAAGAAATCATTTATTCGCCAAGCATAGTGAAAGTGAATTATTAATCTACGTGTGTTATTATTATGTAATCTTTCCTTCACTTCAAACCGAACACGAGTGGTGGCTATCGAAGTAACCTTCAATAGAATCAATTGTACGGAAAACAAGACCGACAGATTAGATCACAAGACGATTACTAGGTTAAATTAATAAGAGTCATCTATTTACCTTTTTCTTTCAAAAAATTCATTAAATGCCTCATAACACTTGTGGCCATGATGGCGTCCATAAACGCATTTTCCTCGTTTCGTTCCTATAAATTTAAGGATTAAGCTTTATTGATTTTCCTTCTTAATATTAATTTTAGTACATCTCTTTACGAACCTGTGGCGTCACATGTTCATTTACTAGCGTGCTTCTTTCGTAATTGTCCAAGAGTGGGACAATTTTTTCTATTGTTGGAATATTCCATGCCGCTGATGATATATTTAGCAGCCTGTGACGAAAAACACGCTATGTTAGTTAAAAAATAATTAATCACCTTATTCAATCAATTACTCATCATGACGTTAATCTGTTCTTTAATTTAGCACATCAGATTGATTAATGATTATTAATTATTTCGAGAAGTGCATGAACCTAGTGCAATATACAAGTCTCATATTGAATTCATATGCTTAAGTACATCTGAGTTTAAAGCCAATTGGCTTATTTACTATGTACATATTATATATTTTTAGTTTGTTGTACACCAAACTTACGGCAACGGGGCTTTGTCTTCTTTCGATTGTGATGTCGTTTTTTCTTGAAAGTTCATCGTGATATATTTGGCAGCATTGTTTGTATCTTTCCGAAGAAGTTCTTCACTCAGTGTCTGCAGTTCAGTATCAGAAGTTGACCGTGAATCGCTACCAGTGTTTGTGTTCCTATTATTATTTAGAATTACACTTGGCAGAACCGGTCCTCTTGTAGAAGGTTTAGGGGTTGTATAAACTGATAGAGTGCTCGGTTTGTTTGAACCGCTCGCCATCGCGCTATAACTAAACGGCTTCGTAGTGGGTGGTTTCGGTGTTGTTTGCGTATAAGGCTGAGTAATTTTCGTCGAACCGACAGACCCCGAAGTTGGAAAATTATTGTTTCCAGTTCCTTGCAAAATTGAACTGTAGCTTGGTGTAGATTGGGGAGCGTTTTGATCTTTTGATTTACCATCGTAAAAGTGTATGAGGTCTTTTACTTTTCCTGTTGTTTGATGGTTTGTTTGAAGTTTGGTAGTAGGAGACAGAGGGGTTATACCTCGTGTGCTGCTACTGGGATTATGATTAGGATTTCGAGTGGATTGAGGGATCAGAGTTTGACTGGAACTGGGCTTCGGTGTTGTAAATTGTGGAGATACATAATCTCTTTTACCGTTCGACTGTAAAGATTGCTGGTTTGTATTTGTATGTTGGCTCTTGTGCGTCGAACCTAACTGTGGAAATTGATAGTTATAATTATTTTTACCATTCGTTTCGATGTTTGTATTAGTCGGTAAATTATCTCTTTTCGGTGTATTGGGGATTCCGCCGCTTTCGTGAAGCAGAAAATCGGTGTTTAAAATAGGGTTGTAATTTTTATTGTGTTCACGACCTGAAACAAACAAACAAAAGTAGTCAAAAATATACTCGTTAGCATTTTTGTGAATGAGTCACCAAAGAAATGGATTGATCGGTTTAACTTTGCTTTTCGAAACGTGTTCATGAGCGTGGCAGATTAATTTCAAGAAGAAGAAGAGGGCAAGGTAAAGTGAGGCGTGCGAAATGCTCTGAATGAAAATCTGAATTCACGACGGTTACAACCGCTCTGAAAGAAGCGAAGTGACTTTACGTCCTTCTCGCATGAGCATCGATTACTTTTTAGTATTCTCCGAAGATTCTTCTAGTGGAAATTTCATTGGGACGTATTGGATATTATTTAATTTACTGCGACTACTCCTGAGGAGAATATCGTCACATATTCTCCTCCGGCCTGAACAATAACACTTCAGGAGTTTCCACTCAACGCCTTAGCTACTGATCAGCGTCGGTCTATTTGGCGGATCGGTGAAACTCGCGCCAATATACGGTCGCAATCCTTCTGACAACCAAAGGAACTGCAATCGTATGTTGCACGACAGGCTGGCCCGCAAGGAATGGGCGACAATCCAAGAACTGCTACAGTTAAATAACCTTAAAAGGTGAGCGGTTCTCACGCGCGTACGACAACAGCTAGTGTCCCGTGCAGGCCGAATTTCCCTTGTCAGGGTCGATCAACAATATCCGTTTGTGTTCCATATACTATCACGTTAATTCTGCGGCCATCAGGAAAATGTAAAGGTTTTTAGATATTCTGCCCCCGTGGCTAAACCAACGTAGAGTCGGGGTAAATGTGGGTAAGACCATGGCACTATTCTTTTTTTTTATTGCTTAGTTGGGTGGACGAGCTCACAGCCCACCTGGTGTTAAGTGGTTACTGGAGCCCATAGACATCTACAATGTAAATGCGCCACCCACCTTGAGATATAAGTTCTAAGGTCTCAGTATAGTTACAACGGCAACCCCGCCCTTCAAACCGAAACGCAGTACTGCTTCACGGCAGAAATAGGCGGGGTGGTGGTACCCACCCGTGCGGACTCACAAGAGGTCCTACCACCAGTGATTACGCAAATTATAATTTTGCGGGTTTGATTTTTATTACATGATGTTATTCCTTCACCGTGGAAGTCAATCGTGAACATTTGTTAAGTACAGACTGTCTTCACGTCTACGTTCGCAAACACGACTAAGACACAGTAAAATCCCTTATGTGCTGCGTGTGAAATCGCCCGGGGAGTTCGTGTATACGAGCAGTGCAGGCTCGATATGTATGAGCAAGCCGAAAGTGACCTCCACGAGCACCTTCACAATGACACTCTGCTGCCTGACTAACAGGTGGTAAGGCGTTGCCACGGGTTTATCTAAATACCCCGGATTCTCATGCGGAGATGAACGATCCTCGACGGCTATGAGGCCGGAAAGATTATATGGGTGCTCCTAATGGGATTGGATACCCCTTCGTCTACGTCTACCCCCACGTCTTCCCAATAGCAGCGGTTCCCTTTTAGAGGACCGGGGTCACACGGTAAGCATTCGACCCTCTTAATCAGAGACTAGATCCGCCATCCCCTTGAGGGATGGGTTTCATGCCCCGCTGTAGCTCTTCCTCCTATTTAAATGTTGTAACAGGAGAAGAGGGTCTAAGGCAGAAATTCGTCCTTCGCTGTCCTCTAAAATTATGTAGTAGTAGGAGTAGATAGCTGTAGATTTTAGTGTAGTCCTGGTTCATGAAGTTCGGGGTTGTATCGCCAGTTGCCAGCGGTATGATGCCACTTACTAGATTATGTAGATTAGGTATCTAGTTTAGGCCCACTGAGTTTCTTGCCGGATCTTCTCAATGGGTCCGATCCGGTCGTAGATTCTGCGAAGCACGGCTCTTGCCAGTGTTAGCAACACCTCCGGTTTGAGTCCCGGGAGCTCACTTACACGCTGGGAGCAGATAGCCTCTCAAGGCTATCATATCAGCATAGGTAGGGAAAAAAGTCTTGCTTAGTTATAGCTTGTAGTTTTTTTACGGAAAAAAATCGAAAGTGATAACGAGGGCGACCAAGAGGAATCCTAAAGGAAGAAGACACACCTATTATGACTGGTTCGCCGCGTTATTAGTGCAGGCGCCCTGATTTGGTAAGACTCCGTTATGCCGAAATCAAAAGAAAAATCATGAAAAAATACAACACCCTTGCCTAGTGAGGCAGGGATTCCGTAGCTCAAGCAGAGGGGGCTACCCCAAAGCACGATCCGTAACCTCGTAACGGTATACCCGACGAGGTATATGTCATCAAAAGTCTATGTCGAAAATAGCCCCCTTATATAAATAAAAAATAAACGTAATCTTTATATTTTACAATCATATTTCGATAATTTATATTATACAACTAATTTCGATGCTGTTTTGTTCGTCACAAATACGTAAGGTATACTTCATGAGTATACCTAAATCAAACAAGGAAACTGCTGTTTTGCAGAAAGAAGATGAACGACATTGAAGTATTATTGACAATTAGAAACATAACAAATGAGAAAACAGAGTTGTTCTATTTTTCCTTTTACCGTATGTTGGTGGTATGGTCTGACGTCACAAAACTAAATAAAAACAAAGCGCTCTACAACATTTCATCAATAGATTTTTTAATAAATTAAAGTTTTAAATCACTGTACTCCAAAATTCATATAAGACATAATATCTTTCCTTATCGTTGGCCTTCTAATATAAAATATGAACCGAGCTGACCTTTTCATTACTCAGATTCTGTGTTGGCAATTTAAATTATTTGCAATTTGATTGATTGCTCACCCGTATTTGGCTTCACGTAAAAAAAGAAAACACATAACATTGTAAGAAACCTCATTTTCATTGTTTACAAGTGTACAGCACTACGGGAAAGTTCACTCACACGTTCAAACTAGTTCACAGTTACGGTAATTCGATATTCACATTTAAAGAAAGCAGTGTGTCCCGCACTGATCGCGGAGAACGAATGGCGAATGATTCGCGAGTTTTATCACTACGTGGGTGTTTAGTAAGATGTGTAAACAGTGGATAGTAAGTGAGATGACATTGAGAGTGAATGATTCTCTACGATTAGCGAGGTTAAAAGCAACTTTTTTTATAGAGCTCGACTAGATTTTGCAGGACTTGTGTTCAAAAAGATTCTCTATCACTCTATAACATTCGTCCATTAGAAGCCTTAGCCATTAGCAGGCCTTAGAAGAGGATGGACAATCGATCGAAGTTTCAGGCAGTTTCTAGGTTCATAGGTGTTGTATGGCACTATCGACTTTAAAATGAATGAAATACATTGTACTAGGTAATACTGGTCAGTAATTCAAAGGCATTTTGGTAGAAAAGCGAGGAGCGAAGTATTATTAATTGTTCAAATTTCTTAATTTAGTTTTTCTTCATGTTTAAACATGTTGTAATGGTACTTTATTAATTATTAACTACTACTAATTATACTAATTAATTAGCATTTGTGAAAGTACACCAATGTGGGAAAACGAAACAAGGTGTCTTAACGTATCCTTCTAAAAAGCTCACTGAATACTCTCTTAATAAATAATCATAAATTTACTGAGATTTTAGTTATCGTTTCATCACATCTTTTCATTTAATTTCGTCCCAATTACAGTCTCGAACAAATCAACAACCTCATTTCATCCATAAAACAAAATATGTACCTATATAAAAGTTTAGGGTGTATGGAGTAATACTTTCGTTTTTCCTGTTGGAAAAATGGAACTGTGTTTTGCTACTGTCAAAGAATTCGACTTTTTGGCGGGAACGCGGGGTGTGAAATTGTGTGATTTGTTTTGTCTATTTAGTGTTGCTTCAGATTTAAATGCGTAATAACGGTGGTTTATTAGCTGTTTAATATCTGTGAAAGTGCACAAATATGGGAAAATAAAACAATGCCGCTGGACGTAACTTCTCGGTAACCTCCAAAAAGTCCACTGAGATTAAATTTCTCATCTCATCTCACCTCATTTCGTTTCATTTAATTTCATCTCATTTACGTTTTATTTCATTTAATGTCATCTTTCATATTAATTAACTTCATTTCATTTCACTTCATAGTATTATTTTTCATATAAAAAAATTATAAAAGATTAGACTGTATGGTATGATACTCTTGCCTTTACAGTTGGAAAAATAAAACTACTACTACTACTGTCAAAATATTCAAAAGGTCCATTTACCATTTCAAAACAAATTTGAATTGGTGCAAGATTAGTGCAGGAAAATAAATTAAAAGTTGTGAATATAGTTTGAGATTCTAAATCTCAGTTCATTTTCTATTTATTTAAATAATGAATATTATATTACATTTCGAGCAATATATATATTTGAGTATTTGGATATTAGCAAATTTTTATTCGTTATTATCGTTGGTTCAAACTCAAAACGGTAATGTTTTTTATTGAAAAAAAACTTTATATCAAGACATTAACAAATTCTAGTAAAAGGATATTTTGAAAAATAAAATACGTACTAAATAGTATCTTCAATTACATTAATTAGCATAATGTTAAGTTTTAACTTAAAAAAATGAATTATTTTTGCACTGTATACCTGTACCAAATAAATACATTGTTACTTTTTCAGAAATTCTTGAAAATAATCCTCAATTAGCATATTCTTTGAGAGATTTGACACACGGTTGGGCATTTGTGGATAGATTAAGAGACATTTCAGATGTAGAATGGAGTACTTGGAAGCATTTCATACAGACATCATGGGTTTATTTAATCTTGCAATTTGCTATATCAGAAATAATTAGGAAGACTAAATTAACATGTCTGAAACACTGGTACATAATATCAAGCATAATGTTTGTTTTGATATACTGGGGCTGGAAGCCTTTAATAATAATTTTAATGCAGCCAGTTATATTTACAACTATTATATTTTTGGGAGGTAAAAAAACCAGTATATGGCTTACCAGTATTGTGTTGCTGATGAGTTATAATTCATTAAAATATAAGTATTATTTTTGGAATTTTTTGGATTACAAACACATACAAGATGAAGAAGTTTATTTGGTTTTATTTGCAGTTGCATGGATAGAACTGCGATGTATTAGTTTTTGTGTAGATTATATAGATAAGAAAGAGAAATTTACCAAAGAAAAAGCATATAAAGTTTCTATTTACCAAGCAATACTTGATATGTTTAGTTATGTTTTATATGCACCATTGTTATATGTTGGACCCATAATGTTATATGAAGATTTTGAAAAAAGCTTCACTGTAAAAAATGAGAAATATACTACAAAATTAAAGAGATTTGTCTGGGATATGTTACTATATTTATTTTACACATTCTTATTAGATTTATCATTTCATTATGTATATTTTTATGCGCTGCAAAGTAACATTGAGGTATGTTCAAGATCAATAAAATTTGTAATGTATTTTTTTCTTTTAAAATTAAATATTTTCTTTTTTTTCAGGCTATAAAAAGTTTGCCGACATTAGCTCTTTGTGGAGGCGGTTTATGGATGGGTTTAGTATTCCATTTAAAGTATGTCATATCATATGGCACAACAGGAGCTTTTGCCAGATTAGACAATATGGAACCACCACCAATTCCAAGATGTGTTGCAAGAATTCATGTCTATTCTCTCATGTGGAGATATTTTGATGTTGGATTATACCAGTTTTTATCCAAGTAATACTATCTTTGCACTTTTTATTAATTTATCAAGGCAAATTTGTTTGTATTTGGTAATATTCCTCTGAATATGTTTTGTCAGCAGGTTATTATGCAAGATTTATTTCTAAAATTTAAAACATCTTCCTTAAACATTACTGTTTCCTTATGTGTTATCCTGTTTTTGTTTTGATTTATTTTAGTTATAAAATACGTTTTGTGGGATCTCGTAAAGATATATAAACTCAGAAAGAGTTACAAATTTTGCATAATCAAGCAAATAAAGCCTGCTGTTTCTAACATTGTGAAACAAAAACCCTTGCTTAAACCACTTAAATTTTTTTTCAGATATATCTACAAACCTGGTTACAGTGTCCTATCTAATTCACTAAAGCTCTCAAAGTTTGTAAATAAATTAATAGCATCATTAGCTACATTCATTTTCATATTTATGTGGCATGGAACTGTGTGGAACATATTTGTTTGGTCAAGCCTAAACTACATTGGCATTCTGCTAGAATATACTGGTAAAGCAGTATCAAGTACTGAGGGATACAAATGGTTCAGAACTAAAATTTTAAGAAGTAATTCTATGGAAAATAGATGNTCAAAGTTTGTAAATAAATTAATAGCATCATTAGCTACATTCATTTTCATATTTATGTGGCATGGAACTGTGTGGAACATATTTGTTTGGTCAAGCCTAAACTACATTGGCATTCTGCTAGAATATACTGGTAAAGCAGTATCAAGTACTGAGGGATACAAATGGTTCAGAACTAAAATTTTAAGAAGTAATTCTATGGAAAATAGATGGATTGCATTTCTATGCTCTCCATTACTAGCACTCTCAGCTATATCAAATTTTTATTTATTGGCTGGTAGTGAAATTGGAGATTTATTTTTTGGTCTTTTGAAAGGCCCTACTTGGAGTAATTGTTTTATTATTAGTTTATCTCTTTATTGTTGTTGTCAAATTTCTATTGCTTTGAAAGATATCCCATCAAGGACAGATATTAGAAAGATTAGTGAGAAAAAAAATGTAAATGTGTTTGTTCCTAATTAAAACTGCTGTGATTATGTAATCATTAAAATCGTAGCGTAATGTAAAATTGAAATACTTAAGACTGAATAGCTTCTGATAAGCATTAATTAAATTGGTAAGTTCACTAACTAAAATGAGGCATAAATATATCGGAAAATAGGCAACGATTAAATTGACTGAAACAAAATTGTGTTATAATTTTTTTATTGCAATCATTATATAGGTATAAGTTGATATGTATTAGATGCTTTAAGAAGCAAGTAGGAATGTATGTGCATTGCTTCAATTAGGTCATTTGCGTCACCCTGGACTCCAGCTGCTTTGTGTATTTGTATCAACTCTTGTCGTGTAAAAATATCTTTTCCTAACTGATGTGATTGTCTTGTTAATGCTTCCAAATATTTCTTCAACTGGAAAAAAATAACCAAGCACAAATTACCTAAGGAGATTTGAATTGAACAGTTACTAATCTAATGTATTTAGGACTTTAAATTTATGTTTCAAGACGATGGTCATTTGTATGATGGATAAAATGAATGTTTTGTCAAATGATAAATACCGATAGGAGAGCACCATTTTCTAAAGCACAATTAGTACTAATGTTGGGAAGTCTTTTCACATTAACGTTAAAATAGTCACAACAAAATAGTTGCGCTCCTAATAGGCTTTGTGATGAGCCATTATATCCCCCGTATTTTACCTTTGGCCCTGCTTTTATTAGGTGAAACATAGTTTATTTACTAAAATTTTTACATCAAGGAAAACTCCATTCCATGCTCCATTTAATTGCTTTACTATTTTATTACTAAGACTTGTGGTAGGACCTCTTGTGAGTCCGCACGGGTAGGCAGGTATCACCGCCCTGCCTATTTCTGCCGTGAAGCAGTAATGCGTTTCGATTTGAAGGGCGGGGCAGCCGTTGTAACTAAACTGAGAATTTAGAACTTGTATCTCAAGGTGGATGCTGCATCTACGTTGATGTCTATGGGCTCCAGTAACCACTCAACACCAGGTGGGCTGTGAGCTCGTCCAACCATCTAAGCAATAAATAAAAGATAATAAATTAACCATCGGTAATAAAATATCTTAGATATAAACCGTAAGTTTCGTAATAAACTCAATACCTTGCTTTTTGAACTGACACCAGAACCGTTGATAGACCGAGATAGTTGAATGTTTCCAAATTCATCGCTAAAGGTGTCGATCAAGCTGTGTTTCATTAAGCTAATAACATCATTAGCATCATCCACTGTCGCCTCTTCTCGTAGTTCTACTCTCGCACGAGCCTATTCGATAATCGTAATAATTACAGAGTCATCGTGGTTTAAGGGATAAAACGCCCGGTGCATTCGTATCCAGCGACGCTATGATGTTCGCATCCCGCAGGCAGGTACCAATATTTCTAATGAAATACATACTTAGCAAATGTTCACGATTGACTTCCATTCTGAAGCAATAACATCGTGTAATAAAAACCAATTCCACAAATTTGTAATTTATGTAATTAATGGACGTCTTGTGAGTCCCCACGGGTAGATACCACCACCCTGCTTATTTCTGCCGTGAAGCAGTAATGCGTTTCGACTTGAAGAGTGGGGGCAGCCGTTGTAACTGAGACCTTAGAACGTATATCTCAAGGTGGGTGGCGCATTTGCGTTGTAAATCTCTATGGGCTCCAGTAACCACTTAGCACCAGGTGGGCTGTGAGCTCGTCCACCCATCTAAACAATAAAAAAAAAGTCGAAACTTGCCTGTGTCAATCGAATACACGCCTCTAGCTGCCGCGTAGTTATAGGTGTACCACCACTAGGATCCGCGTCGTGGTTGTGACGCAGCTCCAGATAAAATTCCTGTAGTGCAGTTGCCGCTTCTTTACTCAATTTCGGATGTACATATCTCTGTGCGTAAGCTATGTACTTCCGTAACAATACAAGAGGTAAATTGTCTATCTCCTCTCCCGGCTTCAGTCTGAGTCTTTGACTGGAAAGAACGAATGTGTTTAATCTGTTTTGCTTGATGAGTTCAGTATCCCTGGGTACTGAACTCATATCATCTGATACCCCTGGGTATCAGATCTCGAGTGGTAATAATTTCGAAAGTTTAGTATTTCGATCGTGTCTTTAACCGTATTAGTAAAACTCTTAAGTTTCGTATCGCAGGGCTCTGTATGCTTAGTGTAAGTTATTTAACGTTCTCGATGGCGTAAAAGTTAGCTCAAATTTGTTTGCAGTTGTAACAGCGCCCCTAGCGGTAAACGTAGGCAAACGTTCAAACTGCATACAAATTTGAGTTCACTTTTACGCTATCGAGAACGTTAAATAACTCGCACTAAGCACACTGATCCTATTGCCGGTCGTCCTAACTTCGTTTACGAAACTTTTTCTTCTCTTTTTGTTTCTGATTACAAAATAAGTTAAGCTTTTGGCTTGAGTCCCATTATTGTGTAACATTAATTAAAAAATCTAAATTTAAGCTTTAACATCTTGGCTTAAGAAGATAATTATATTATATTATAAATGACTACCATTGTGAATCAATTTGAACACATTAAAACTAGGCAATGCGAAAAATGCGCTTAGAATAAATACAAAGACAGAAAGATAATGCATTTTTTTTTAATTTCTCTTTTAACGAAATCTATGTCGATTAAAGATTGTTTTAGACATTAATTTGTAGCTTACCTAAGAGAACGTTTGCTATTATTACTCTGACTAGTATGCATGCTGCTATTAAAACTGCTACCCTGTGCCGATTTCTTTGTTTTATGACCAGCGTGAAGCGCTAACACATGTTCAGAGAGCATCGCGTCCATTTTCTAAAAAAATAATATGCCAATTGTATTTTTTTATTCTGATTTACATTGATAAATTTATCTCAGTACAAAATAATTAAGAAAAATGAGTATAGTGATTACTTACCTCATCCGGTTGATCCAAAAGTATAAAAACTAGATCAAACCTCGAAAGTAGCGCTGAATTTAGTTTCAAATTTTTGACTACCGTTTTTGCTCTAGAAATACATATATTTTAACTATTTACGACAGGCTTTCATTATTATTTTTTTACATTATATTTTAAGTTATCATTTATGAGATTTATGAGATTGGTAAATCCCATTTTTGGTTATTCGGGTGTTACCTATTAGCCCACTGAGTTTCTCGCCGGATCTTCTCACTGGGTCGCGATTCCGATCCGGTGGTAGATTCTACGAAGCACTGCTCTTGCTAGGGCTATAAGCAACACCTCCGGTTTGAGCCAAGAGAGCTCACCTACACGCTAGGGTAACGCTGATAGGCTATATCAGCGTTATNGACTACCGTTTTTGCTCTAGAAATACATATATTTTAACTATTTACGACAGGCTTTCATTATTATTTTTTTACATTATATTTTAAGTTATCATTTATGAGATTTATGAGATTGGTAAATCCCATTTTTGGTTATTCGGGTGTTACCTATTAGCCCACTGAGTTTCTCGCCGGATCTTCTCACTGGGTCGCGATTCCGATCCGGTGGTAGATTCTACGAAGCACTGCTCTTGCTAGGGCTATAAGCAACACCTCCGGTTTGAGCCAAGAGAGCTCACCTACACGCTAGGGTAACGCTGATAGGCTATATCAGCGTTATCAAGCCTATCAGCATAGGTAGGGAAAAAAGTTACCTATTATAGCTTCCAGCGGCAGGATTGGCGGCGGCTAGCACTGTGGCCCGAGCGGCCAGGCTGCACACCACACCTCCCTTGGCAACACTCACGCGCCGCTGTTCCATGGCCTCCAGCAGACTGCTGTGATGCGCTTTCATCTGAACATTGGTGGTAGGATCTCTTGTGAGTCCGCACGGGCAGGTACCACCACGAGTAATTCAAGACCAAAATTAGCCAAATCGGTCCAGCCGTTCTCGAGTTTAAGCGAGACTAACGAACAGCAATTCATTTTTATATATATAGATAGAAGAGATAGATAAAACACAGCCGTGGTCTAATTTAATCATCGTTGAAAATACGAAAGTTATTTACTATGCGCGCGCGCTACCTTCAATACCGTAGATTGGGGGAATCGGGACTACGGGTAGAATATGGACAAATCTTGGTTGTCACAATGTTTTTGTGAGATTTAAATTTATTGAATAGAAAAGGACTTTTACTTAGTGTTTAAAAAAATAGTCATCAGAATTTTGTAATTGATTTAAGATATTGAAAAGTTAATTACCTAAAGGTAAGTACCTACCTAACAACTAAACAGTGCCACCCCTATCGAAAAATTCTATTGTTTTTTTTTATTTTTTTATTGCCCTTGTAGGCAGACGAGCATACGGCCCACCTGATGGTGAGTGGTTACCGTCGCCCATGGACTTCAGCAATGCCAGGGGCAGAGCCAAGCCGCTGCCTACCGCTAAAATTGTCCCCATACGTGACCCGATTCACTTCAAAAGCCAAGGTAGATCAGGTTAGCTAGTTTTATAAAGTTTTTGTGTATATTTTTCAATGAACTATGTATAATAACGCATTGTATATGAAAACTTAAGCCTCCGAAACCGTTTTAATCTCAATTTTATTGCCCTAAGAAAAACCCTTGAAAGCGTCCCAATTCCCTCCAATCTACTGTACGCTAATGAATTTAAACCTTCTCCAAAATGCCAAGAACAGTAAGTTACTTACTTTGTCTAGTTCGTCAATACAGCAAACGCCTTTGTCAGCCAAAACTAATGCGCCAGCTTCGAGCGCGAAATCACCTCCGGCCTCCCTGCCTAATGCCACTGTCAGTCCTCCCGCTGATGCCGAAGCTCCACACACATACACACCTTTAAAATAACATTATGTTGTTTCAATCAAATAATTATCTATATATATAAAAAAATGAATTGCTGTTCGTTAGTCTCGCTAAAACTCGAGAACGGTTGGACCGATTTGGTTAATTTTGGTCTTGATTTATTTGTGGAAGTCCAGAGAAGGTTTAAAAAAAGGTAGATAAATATGAAAATGCTCGGAATTAAATAAAAATAACAATTTTGTTTTTCCTTTGATGTGTCCCCCGTCGGACGGATTCCTTTTGTTTGTTTTAAGTTTATTTTATTTATTTATATAGATTGAGGCACTACGAAGTCTGCCGGGTCAGCTAGTAATCAATACCAATAAGTTAAATGACAGTTTGATTCTTTATTACTCAATGACGAAAAAATAGCTAAATAGATTTTGATTAAATTTCGCACAACGAACTTTATAATCTAAATTATTTTTTAGGACGCGCAACGTCAGGTATACCTGCCATAGTACACACAGCGTGTTTGCTGGTTCGTGATTTTACAGACAAACGGATCTACAAAACGACAGGAAGCTAATAGAAACTTTCTATCTTCGGAAACGGCAAGAAGTTTAATTTTTTTTCTGAATTTCAAAATTAAGCTGGCAATACCGCAGGTTACGTCTGCTATTAAATAAGTGGTTAAGTATGTACCTATGTCTAAAAATACTTTTACGGTTTTAACTCGCCTTTTTCATTGTCATTATATTATTTCCGACGTTTCAAATACATAACAATTTTCGTGGTCACGGACAATTCAGTCGTCAGTTCAGTAAAAAACCGTAAAAGTAGTTTTAGTAAAATTATGTTTTTATTTCTTTTATTGCTTACATGGGTAGACGAGCTCACAGCCCACCTGTTGTTAAGTGGTTACTGGAGCCCATAGACATCTATAGCGTAAATGCGGCCACCCACCTTTTAGATATGAGTTCTAAGGTTTCAAGTTTAGTTACTACGGCTACCCCAGCCTTCAAACCATAACGCATTACTGCTTCACGGCAGAAATAGGCAGGATGGTGGTACCTACCCGTGCGGACTCACAAGAGGTCCTACCACCAATAATTACGAAAAATATAATTTTGCAAGTTTGATTTTTATTACACGATGTTATTCCTTCAATCGTAAACATATGATAAGTATCTACGTATTTCATTAGAAAAATTTATACCCGCCAGCGGGATTCGAACACTGGTGCATCGCTCGATACGAATGCACCGGACGTTTTATCTTTTAGGCCATAACGACTTCAAAATGTCTATGGCTCTCGGAAACCGAGAACAATACTAAGTGGAATGTTGTGTGTGTTGCCGATATAAAACTCACCCCTGGGCGCAGCATGCGCTGCAGCTTGTAGCAACTGCGACTTGCCCAGTCCTGGATCTCCGACAACGAGTATGTGAGGATTAGATCTCGGACCGTTCTCAAGCTCAGTTCCACCCAGCAACCCCAGGATAAGGCCGGCCTTCACGGCTTCATGACCAAAGATGGTCGGACACAGCGAGTGAACTAGTAAGCGGAATACGTCGTCGGATCCATGAATTTCCTGAAAAAAAATTGTGTCATTTTTCAAAGGCTTGTTGTATTATATATAATTTTTGTTGTTATTCATATTCGTGCAGAAAAGAGATTCTGATGTTAATTGTTATACACTCAATTTGCTTTAAAAACATTTCTACGTAAATTTCACATCACATTTTGAACTATATAGCTAAATCCGCTTTGCTCTTAATAAGCTCTCTATTTGGAGAGTTTTTTTTTGGATTTTTTTTATAATTTTTGTATTTTAAATAAAATAACCTTAAGCTAATCTCTATTAACGTCCCGTCAAAATCTATTCGGCCGATTGATAGACAAACAGACCAAAAAGGAGATTTCTTGATAAATGTGTATAAATTTAGTTAAAAGCTGATTTTGACATTACAGACATACAATAAAAAATATATTTTTATACATACATACATATAGAAACAAAAAATACCTGCCTGTATTGCATAATAATCCTTTAAAGTAAAGGAGAGTGTCGGATTGGATAAGTTCCTCTGACTGTGAATGGAAATAGCTTCAATGTATAACTGCAACAATCTCGCAGCTCTCTTTCCGTCTTCTCCGCCTTTACTCTCGCCACGGACCTGAAGATAAAGTTTATGCAATCACATTCTTTAAATAATACAATCGAACATTAATTTTACAAGGGAAATGGTCCGTGTATTTTTAATTTCTTTATATATTAGGCCTTGTGATTTTTTTGTATATTTTGGATTTTCGGACGTATGTACCTTGTAACGCGAAGTAATTGAACCTATTTATAGTTGAGTTGAGTTACAGCAAGCCTCATTCGATGAAGTCATACATTATATTATTTATTTTATTGCTAAAATGGGTGGACGAGCCACCTAGTGTTAAGTAGTCACTGGGGTTAAAGAAAACATTTTAAAATCAGATATTAACACTGACTGAAGTAGATAATCGTTTTTTTTTTATATTATATAGGTAGTTAAAACTTACCTGTACTATACCAGTGACTGAGAGCACGTCTCCTGGACATGCAGTCCCAACTAAATCTCCTTGGAGCTCAATCTCAACACTTCTAGGTATAGTACCGGAAATGCTCTGCAAAAATGATTCTTAATTAAATTATTGAAATATAAACTACCGGTATATGCCTTTTGTGCTTTTCACCTCTTAGTACTGGATCATAGACCTTTTTTTTTCTTCCTACCTAAGCTGAGAGCCTTGAGAGGCTATTTCAGCGTAACCTTAACCAGTAGGTGAGCTCACTGGGCTCAAATCTGACGACGTTGCTAACACGAACCCTAGCAAGAGTCGTGCTTCGCAGAATTTACCACCGGATCGGAAACGCGACCCACTGAGAAGATCCGGCGAGAAACTCAGTGGGTTGTGTCTGAGGGTTAGATAGACCAAAAACCTTTTACACAAAGGTTTATTCTATATGTGGCATTATAAGTTTAATAACGGCAACAACGTCAGTGTTATGATTAGATATTAATATTTAAGTTTTTAGTGTTGATGATATTAGGGGCAGTTTAGTAAATTATATTCGACTTACATGAGACTGGATCTCTTGTATTTTCGCAACCTGCCAATCTGTGGTGTTTGTGTACGGCGAGGACTGTAGAGGTTCAAACTTAACGCCACTATTACAACTCTGACAAAAGTTCGGAGCTAGACCACGTATTAAAGACGTTTCAATGTTATTAACACTTATTAATTATTACAATTGATTACATAATTATTAATACATATTATATATGCATGATGTAATTATTATAAATACGAGCTAAAAGTGTGCCACTGTTACAGAGAAGTTGAGAAGTGCGCGTTTGGACATGTAACGAGACGAAATGACCATTAGGTTAGTAAGATAGTCTTAACTATGAACGTGGAAGGCTTTAGAGGAAGAGGTAGACATAAGAAAAAATGGATGAATTGCGTGAAAGAGGGAAGTGAGAAAGAAGTATAATAATATGATAGATGAGTATAGAAGGAGAAAAAATGTTGCGTCGATTCCAGGTGATTAATGATTGATAAGATAAAATAATTGATTATTACAATTACTTGTACTAATTATAAATTGTATAATAAAAAAAAATAGGACATTTTACGTGATAATGATTACTTGGAACGTGTGAAATTGTGTCCATTTCTCAAGTTTCTACCGTGAAAATTATGCAATACAATTTAATAGTTGGATCAGCAAATAAGAAATACCATTAAAACTCGTATTTCGTGTCCTATAGTGGATGACAGTCGTGAGCTATTCTGCGCATTTAAAGTACCTAACGAAAAAATTACCAGTAAATACTCCTTGTGGCTGAATAACAGCTTGAACACTGTGACAACTGGAACATTCGAACGCCATGGATGTGCAAATAAGTCCAATACTGCCCACTCTTATTACTGTTCCTTTTATTGTTACTAATTTACCTAAAACGAACAAGTAATGTCATTTTGAATAGCTTGATAATTGTGACATGAAATTTGCTTAGAAACACCCAAATAAAGCAAAATAAATTGCCAAATATTTTGGGAGTTAAAAAAGGTGATGCAGTATTGAAAAATAAGGCCAGCTAAGGGTCAGAACGAGATTAAAAATTTCAAACTGTATTCATAGTCAGTGCCAGTTGTGTTGCAAACTCAGCTTTTTTCTATTGCGCTTATAGGCAGACGAGCATACGGCCCACCTGGTGGTGAGTTGTTACCGTCGCCCATGGACTTCAGCAATGCCAGGGGCAGAGTCAAGCCGCTGCTTACCGTTAAAATATTACGTGATCCTTATGATTCACCCTGTCTGCTCGTTTGTACCTATTCAGTAACCAGTGCGCTAGAATAGACTAGACTAAAAAAATCTCAGAATATTATTATGTGAAAATCGAAAAACATATTTATTGCAAAAAATTATGTTTTGCAATTTCTTACATACGAAATGCATTAAGTTAGTGACATGCAAATGCATTCATTACTACTAGTTTTAATATTGTTGTTAACTTTATGCCTTCACTGATGGCACTGTACGGGGCTATCGCTATTCACCCATGGTCACCCTCGTCGGTCAACCAATAACCCGGGCTAAGGAAGGTCAAATACCTGGATGTATCCCTGGATGCATCCATTACATTCAGCCCACATATAAAATTAGTCCACGACCATGCTGCGTTTATTCTCGGCAGATCCCAAGATCTGTAAGCGGAGTAAAATGTCCTTTCGGAACAAGGTGACACTTTATAAAGCTTGCATAAGGCCCGTCATGATTTACACGAGCATGGTGTTCGTTCAATCGGTCCGTACAGACATAGGACACCCTCCAATCCCTACAATCACGCTTTTGCAGGTTAGCCGTCGGGGCTCCGTGGTTCGTGAGGAACGTCGACCTACACGACGACCTGGGTATCGAATCTATCCGAAAACACATGAAGTCAGCGTCCGAACGTTACTTCGATAAAGCTATGCGTCATGATAATCGCCTTATCGTTGCCGCCGCTGACTACTCCCCGAATCCTGATCACGCTGGAGCCAATCACCGTCGACGCCAGAGACACGTCTTTGCAGATCCATCAGATCCAATAACCCTTGCATTAGACGCCTTAAGCTCTAACACTAGGAGTAGGGATTCCGGAAACCGTACTCGTCGAACTCAGCAAAGACTTCGACGTGCAACTTAATCCAGCCCGCAAATCAGCCCGCTGAATTTCTCGCTGGATCTTCTCAGCGGGTCGCTATCTCGATCCGGTAGTAGATAAATTCGCGAAGCAGCTGCTCTCGAGTTGTTAGGTTTCCTTCGGAGGCGCTTGCTGTTAGCTAATCCCTCCCCTCCTGGCTGAGCCATTGTCCTGGTGAAACTATAAAGGCCTTCGGGACACGAGTAATCCTTTAAACATAAAAGAACAGGGCTGTCGTGTTGCACCATGCCCCGACCCGCGACATCGATGCGGTGCCGTATCGGTCGAGATTACGCATGTCGATGCGACATTCGCTCTAGTGGGGGAGTTGCGTCCCAGCCCGGCGAAGTTCGAGGGCGAAGACTAATCTCGGTGGATCGTGCTCGAGGCGCGGGCTCACCGCCTGGTGGACCCTGCCTACAGGCGACGGACTGAATACTGTCTTCACGGCCTGGGTGAATCGTGACCGAAAAGTCTCACCTGGGTCACAGGGTCGCGGTCGTTTCGTTTGCTACCAATATCTCGTTTCCTTAAGTGAGTCGACGCCGGAGTGCCACTACTGCGGTGGATCTTTTTCCTTCTCGGCATCAGGCTGCCGCCACTGTGCCAGGTACCGCAGAAGGCATTCGTCCAGCTACAGTCCTATGAAGAGGTATTCTCCTCCCGGTGATAATCACGGAGCGACCTGAGGGCGTCAAACGCCAACGACACGCTAGCGTACTGACACCAGGAAAGATCGGATGACGCGACGGCTGCTGCAGTCCACGTTGTCATCGTCGCCATTGCAGCTGGGCGTACTGTGGAGGTGGCGTATTGCGTTCCGACTTTACAGGCTGGTTCTGAACTAGTGGATTATCCCGAACAACAGCAGCACGGCCCGGTCGGCATCACGGTCCGCCAATACGCGGAACACACTAGTCTTTGGCAATCGCCTCGACAACTCTTTTTCAAGACCAACATACCCCGTAGGTGTGGAACTTCATGCAAGTTAAATAATAACACAGATTGTCTAATCATTATACACAACAAAACAAAATTCAACTTACCAAAATAATTAACTTTCAAACTCGCAATTGGTATAACTGGTTGATGATTTAGTATTCTCACTTTTAGTTTTACTGCACAGTTTAAAGTCTGAAAAGTAAGCATGGTATTTTATAGGGTTGATGACAAAAGCACAAAAGTTAAGGACAAAGAAGATCATACATAGTCGAAAATTAAGACCAACTCCTATTTATAATAAACAAAGAAAAGTATAATAGATATAAATAGATCTTTAAAATAATAGATGATAATAAAGCTTGAATTTTTTAACTAAACTATTTAGATACAAGTAAACACAAAACACAAGTTAAGTAATAACAAGAAAAAAAGCATTTGAGAAATAAATTACATGTAACACAATGAAAGCTATGGAACTAAAAATAATTCCCGGAAAAATCTCCCATTTAACATTTATAATACTAAATTGACACTACCATCTCTACAATTATTCTACCAAAAGAGTGTGAGTATTATATATGAGTCGACTATTATCAAAGCCGGCAATGTGACTTTTGGACAATTATTGGTAAATCAGAAAAACGAATTATTGACTTTGTGTTCCATTGGCAGTCACAAAACTCTTCTGAACGACATCTTAGATAAATAACAGGTTAACTATTGACCTTTATTTCATGCAGGTTTTGAACCGTATTCTTTGAAGGAGACGATTATATTCAAATCAATCTGTATTGACATATCAATAAAAAATTTTTGTCCAAATGCACAGATTGCCACCTTTGATAATAGACGACTCATATATTAATATAATCTTTAGGCTAGGGACACCAAGCTACCAAGCATACATTTCTACTTTTTTTCTACTTATTATTTCATTAATTTAATTATTGTTGGTTTGTAAACCTTTTACACATCAGTGAGATTAGATACTTTAAAACAATATATTTATCATCCATATTGTGATAGTTAAATATTAAAACTAATAATCTAATCTTTAATTTTACCTCATGCAAGCAATATTCTAGTGTGGACAATGTTGTGACTGGATTCTCAAAAAGGTCAGTAGTAAAGGAACTCCACTCTTGAATAAATTCATCATCATTTTGCAAGTTCTGCACATCCAATGGTACGCTGTGAGTTTGATCTATTTTTTCCAAATCGAACAAGTTCCTATTCTTATTTATATATAGCTTGAAACTATTAATATGCTTAGCCACTGTTTCATTGGATCCTTTTTCTAAAAAAAAACATTGGAGCAGTCAAGAAACAGCAATGCAAAGTAATGTGAGTAAATAAGATTTGCAGCTGCATTTTTGTAAAAAAAAGAGTTCTAAAGTTTGTTTTGTAGGTTTTTTGTTAATTTATACAAAAAAAAAACCTTAAATTTACTAACCCTCGGACGGAAAGTACAATTTCCATATGTTGTTAAGATCCGTTCCAACAGATATTACTATGGGAAGCTGATTAGCTGGTGCTCTTGAAGACCCAGCAGTACTAGTGACCCTTGCGGATGTTGAGGTGTTGTTGAGGCTCGAATCATCGAAGTTAATGTTTCCTTTATTTTTAGAACGATACCAGTTGTTGCGATATCGCCCTCTTCCGGTGCGTCTCATTGCTTGTATAAACGAACTTTAAAATCATGTGGGTACCGTGCAGGTATGTAGTTTTTAAAATTTAGATGAATATTTTGTTCCCGCGAATATTATGTCTTTAAAGGGTTTTATCACCTGGTAACTCTCGAATATATTAAGTGTATAATCTATGCTGGTAACTGAGACTTTTAGCTCAAGTCTTATTTTAAAACTTTTTTAAATGAAAAATGATATTATGAAATGAAATGAAGTTAATTAATATTAAACATGGTATGAAATGAAATGAGATGATAAAGCATGAAAATAATCCTAGTAAAATGGTGGTCATTTATATAACCTTTCTCGTGATTCGAGCTCGGTTCGGTCGCACGTATTTGCGAATGGACACACACGACGGGCAGCGCGCGGTAGATGTAATTTCGACACCTCAGCTGCAGAAAGGATAAAGACTTTTTCAGTGGACTCTTTAGAGGATCCCGAGAAGTTACGTTCAGCGCCTTTGTTTCATTTTCTCACATTTGTGCACTTTCACAGATATTAAACAGTTAATATACATAATATGTAAATAAACAACACATTTAAACCTGAAGAAACACTAAACAGACAAAATAAAACCACACAACTTCACTCCTCGCGTTCCCGCCAAAAAGTACGCCTAATAGATTATATTTGTATTTAGAACATAGACAATACACTTAATTTTTAAGGTTTAAAATAGATTCTTAAATATGTTTATTGTACCTATGGTGCTTAAATAACTTAAACCGGTACCGGTAAAATGGGGCGATTAGGGATTGAGAGGCGAATCGGGAAAAAACCGGGAAAATCTTTCGACGCTCAATATAAGTTTTATATTCGTTGCAAAATCTTCCATTTTTTGTAGTTTAATAGTAGAATGTTGAAAGTTCACAAAACAACTCTGAATATGCATGACAATAGCTGCTAACTTATAAAAAATCGCGTTTCAAATTAACTTCCTGTGGTGGTAATTGTTTTAGTGCTAGAAACTTTGCTCTCTTTTATTTATTTGTTATTAATAGAAGACGACTATGATTTATAAACGTTATTTAGTGTTTGAACCAGCATATATATTAAAGGTAAGTCTCAGTTGTTATTGGTTTTAATGTATTTGATTAAATAAAAATACATGTACAAATCTGTTGTTTTTGGGGATATTGGGGACGTCTTAGGTATAAATAACAACGAAAAAGGGGTCAATTGGGATGGTAATACNGGAGATATTTACGTATATTCATGTTTCATTTTATGTACGCACTGAAATACTGTTATATTGTTTTCCTGCGAGTTAAAGTGCTGAGTAAGAACGAGATAGATATATGTTTATGTATGTGCCTTCAAAATGGGTGCTATTTATATAAGCAATTGTACGTATAGAACAATATGTCGTGTCCCTACTATATAGGTCTATGTTTTAAATCGATAGCAAAAAGTCATCAAAAAGTATATTTGTAGAACTGTCAAACAAAATCAGATGTTTTTTGTTTTGATATTTTTTGAAGTTAATATTTGAATTTGGAGAATTACGTTGAACTTGGATTGACAAATTTAAATAGAAGAACTGCTAAAACGTAGTAAAGAAAATACGTTATTTCTGGGAGACTTTTTGTTTAATAAATGTGTTTCTTCTCCGATTGCTTAATACATGCAATTGGTGGATTTTAAGTAACAATGTCGGATGATGCTGAAAATGTACCCGAAAACACAGAAAAGACAGAGGCTGGTGGCCAGGATATTTCTGACGAACACGCAGAAGATGTAGCTCAAACTGCTGTAATAATTAATGAAATAGAAACAAGACCTTCTAAAAGAGATTCTCTATTCCCATTTTCTTTTGGCGACGATGAAGAACGTGTAGATGTTGATAGAACAGCTTTAGAAGCAATTTTAGATGTCGGCGCTCGATTACAAGATATTCAAAAGAAAAGTAGGGTGTCTATGAGTACATTGGCTTTGGCACATGAGTCTTATAAAGACAAACAAGTAAATAAATAGCAGTACATGATATTTCTTTTCATATATTTAAATAATATTCTCACAAAATGAAACTTTTTTAGGCCAAAGCTAAAGAAGCCAGGAATAACCGCATGAGTGGTCTTAAAACCCAACACAGATTTTTGCTGGAAAATGCAGCAGCCATTTTAAACCGACCAGTTGAATATGTTTTGGTAAGCAGTGTTTATTAAGAAATTCTTAGTAGTGTATTGCAAGCAATGTGATAGCTTGAACATATGGAAATGTGTAAATTTAATACTGATTTTTAAATACAGGATGGTGTGTTTGATGCAGACATTAACATTGAACTACTGGATAGTGCTGTAGTTGAAGGTGGAAGAAATTGTGTTGTGGTCTGTGATGCGGTGCTGCCACAACTAAAAATGGGTAACTATGAGAAGTTTATTTTGTAATTACTAAAATAAATCTCATTGGTATGTATGTATTGTGAATAGTTCAGTAGACTACTTTGTTTGAAGTTGTCATAGCCTTCAGGCTTTTAGGAGAAGTGTGCCTGTACTTAGTGCACTCATATTTAAAAGCAGGATTTAAAGGCAGGCCTTAATACTATTCAAATGATATTTAGACTGAATGTTTCAAGTTGCATGGCAGCAGTCACATGCAGTCATCAGTTAACAACCGTTGGGTAGTGGAAAAACTGATAATTTTTTTCATTCCTATTTTTTAACTTAATACATTTGAAATTTAATCTGATTAACAAGCTGCAGAGTATTATCATTATTGTGTATGGTGAATGCATAAATATACATGTAATTCTTTAAATTGTTAACCATCATAAATTTTACTTTAAAACCAGAGTCCGGGAGATATATTCCAAACCAGAAAGGAAGAATGGAGAGGGTTTATTTATCAGATGGAGCAACTATTGCAACTGAGGGTGTTTGTGTTGCAATGTACAGAATAAAAAATAAAGCCATTGATACAAAAAATATGGCTGATGTTAGTTATTATTAGTTTGTTTTAGAATATTTAGTACGAACTTATCACGGGACCAGTTAACGTGGCGTGATTGTTAAGTAAATATTTATTAAATATTTCTCACATTCAAATCATCACCACAAAATTTTGCCAAATTTCGTTATGATAAGTTACTTATGATCCATTGAGATAGCTTGTGTGTAGTGACCCATGGTACAAGTACCATCCTATTTTTGGAGTGAAGTAGGTATGTGATTTAGTTTATAGAGTGGAATAGCTTATACACAATACAACTAAGATTGTGACCCAAGTGCTTGATGGCGTTATAGTGTTTAAGGATCGATTCTACTTTGTAAGCTGCAAGCTTGGTTGCTTTCCTAGAGCAGATAAACAATGAGATATTTTTTTTAGGATTATTATTTAGTCTATCTTGACATGAATCAAGAAACCGAAAATGTGGTTTCTGGTATTTTTAAAACCATGGATCGTGTTTATATACCCGCCATAAAATGTTGTAAAGCTTGGGGCGATCTTAATCCACCAAAACCGAATAGTGAGGATATCATCAAAACTTACATTTCGAAGGTGATGCTGTTCATTGACTATCTAGCAAGTAAGTGTGCTGTTTATGTATATAATATACCTGTGTGATAAGACAGATATATCTGTGTAATATTATATAGGTATGTGTCTAATATTATGTATCTGTCTGATGCGTGTATCTTTCTCTTCTTTCTGGTCGTTCCCTCAATGCTGAGGATCGTGACTGTATGTCAATCTTCTCCACTCGGTCCGGTTCTGCGCCATATGTACCGCTTCCTGTATCTGGCCTCCAGTCACCTCCTTGAGTTAGTCCACCCATCTAGCTGGCGCTCTTCCTCTAGCGCGCTTCCCCTCCATTTGTCCGAGAATGATGAGTTTCTCCAGGCTGTGCAATGAGGATCGCATTATGTGCCCAAAGAAACTCCTGATCCTTTCCTGGCACATAGTCAGCAGGCGCTTGGCGACCCTCAGCTCTGCGAGGATGGAGACATCTTTCTTATAGACTATGAAATAGCCAGACCGATTTCGATAAAATGTTCAGTAAATCTTTTGATTGACCCATCTGGCATTAAGTAATATAAAATTGGTACCTATCATATCAAAGTCCGATCCAAGATTGACCATCAAAGCGGACCGGGTTTGACTAGTTGAATATAAGATGCTATTTAAACTATAAAACAAAATATTTTCGTAACTTACTAATGTGTCTTTTTTGTGTTAGAAACAAAAACTGACTTGGACTGTTGTACGAAGTTTAAAATAAATTTGACTCTCTATGAAGATGAGTTGTCCGATCAAGAGAAAATGAAACACGCAGTAACAAAGATGCATGTTTTGGAAGAGATATGCGCATTTGTTAAACAGTGGATGAAACAAATTACTATGGTAATTGATTTGTAAATGTATCTAATGTAAGCTCGATGTTTGTTTTATTTCAATTTCGCTATTCTTGTCGTGATTGGGCGATTGATTCCACAAATGCTGCCATCCATCTCAACACGCACCTAAGACGTGGGAGAAATTGTAAAACCATTATTTCCCAAAGATTATATACACACAATTATATGGTAAACTATTATTTTTGATGGCGAACTCTAACAAAACAAATAGAGTCCAGGGAATTTACTTGCAACTTGAGAATTCTTGTAAAGTTGTGGCGAGAAAAAGAGTTAACTAGGTAAAGTTCTTGAGTTAAGGGAAAAGGGCTCTGAAACCGCAATGACAGGATTTGAATCGTGTATAGGAATTACAATGGGGATTCATGATGATGCCGTATAGGACTCCTCCAAAACCAAATCCACCCTGGAATAGAGCATTACATCAGGTAATCAAGAGGAATTAATGTAGCTTTCTAGAAGTCAGCATAGACATATTTTGCTGGTAGCCCTTACAGGGAGTTTTGCTACTGGAGAGCACCCTAAGTAAAATGAATCTGATTGATGAATAGCATAAACTATGCATCACATAATCTGAGGGTGTGACAGTCTAGGAAGGATACGAATGTGTGTCGTCGGCGAATAAGGCTAACTGGGTCGGCGACGACCGGGGAATATCGTTAATAAATAAACTAAATAGGATTGGCGAGAGGACGGAGCCCTGCGGGACTCCAGCCATGAGCGATCGCTGTGAGGAGCGGGTTCCCTCGACTCGATATCGAAAAGAGCGGTTCGACAAGAAGTCCCGTTTGATGAGCACGAGACTGAAGACGACACGACACGAGAAATTCAAATATTGTTGTATTCCTTTTTAAAGGTATTAGTGCAAAGTCAGCAGTTACGACGTGAACCGTCCAACATAGGTCCTTTGGCTGAGCTGGATCATTGGCGGCGACAACTCACCACTTTTACATCGATTATTGAACACATAAAAAGCGATCCTTGTCAGATGTACATTCACACGCTTATAAGAGCCAAGTCGAAACTGATTAAGGTACATTTTATAACAGTGTAGCTAAAAGTTGCTTAGGTTACGCATGTGTGGCATGTCAACAAATTTATTCATTGGAAACAGTGCTAACAGTGAGCATGCGACCACACTTCACTTTAGATGACCTAAGAACATGATGTTGAGGGCCTAGTTTCCAACCTTCTTGACTGACAAACTAGTATTATCGTCTGCCTTGCAAGATAGCCGCAGATCCAACTCTAAAAAAATAAGCTAGAATAAAGGCACGCTGAGTTGGGTTAGTAATCTCGTCATTTTGATGTCTTACAGAAATGGAGGCTCTTAGATAATCAAGTAACGGACTATTATAATGAAGCTNAAGAACATGATGTTGAGGGCCTAGTTTCCAACCTTCTTGACTGACAAACTAGTATTATCGTCTGCCTTGCAAGATAGCCGCAGATCCAACTCTAAAAAAATAAGCTAGAATAAAGGCACGCTGAGTTGGGTTAGTAATCTCGTCATTTTGATGTCTTACAGAAATGGAGGCTCTTAGATAATCAAGTAACGGACTATTACAATGAAGCTTCAGACAATGTTAAATATTTATATGCTTTGGAAAAGTACTGTGAACCACTTTACAGGTATTTCATGGACGCCTTTCGTTTTAGACACTATTTTGGTGATATGTTTTCCTTTGACTAAAAGTCTGCTCTGGCACCTAAATCGCATACATACAATCAAACCTCTACCCAGCCTGTTTCTGCTATAAAGCAAACAATGTATTCCGATTTGCACTGATCAATGGTTGCTATTCTAATGTACTTGGTCAACTCTGAATTGTAAATGTCAGCCTGTGTGACGTCATTCGAGGCCAAAATTTACGACTAGCTAGTCATTTATCATTCACGTGTTCGTCGTTTAGCTGATTTTAGAATGATTAGATCAATTTAGTGATTTAAATGATTGATCATTAATTTTCACAATTAAATTATCCTTGTAATTTAATTTAAACCAGTTGTAACTTAATATTACGGTTTTACATAACAATAAAACCGATATTATGTGCCGAGAAGGAAAACATACAGCATTGTATTATGAAGAAGCAGTGTGTACTTAGCTTAAATTCCTTGTCTATGTCCAAGCATAGACAGTCAATTTAGTTCCATCTTTAGCCGCTAGGTGCTGCCAGCAAGTATAAAGGAAGCGCAGCCATCTTTGATCTTCATAGTCTTCACCAGGAAGAACTTCCTGCAATGCTGTATGTTTTCCTTCTCGGCACATAATATCGGTTTTATTGTTATGTAAAACCGTAATATTGATGTGCCTTTGGAAAACATACAGCATTGTNACCTAAGAACATGATGTTGAGGGCCTAGTTTCCAACCTTCTTGACTGACAAACTAGTATTATCGTCTGCCTTGCAAGATAGCCGCAGATCCAACTCTAAAAAAATAAGCTAGAATAAAGGCACGCTGAGTTGGGTTAGTAATCTCGTCATTTTGATGTCTTACAGAAATGGAGGCTCTTAGATAATCAAGTAACGGACTATTATAATGAAGCTTCAGACAATGTTAAATATTTATATGCTTTGGAAAAGTACTGTGAACCACTTTACAGGTATTTAATGACGCCTTTCGTTTTAGACACTATATTTTGATGATATGTTTTCCTTTGACTAAAATTCTGATCTGGCCTGAACCTAAATCGCATACAAACATCTGAGGAATTGTTTGAGATGATTCCATCATCTGGTTTTTACTATCGCACCGCCTGTCACCGGAGCAGAGTTCATCCATACTACCTAGAGCCACTGCGTTCATCCACAGTGCGTTTCCATAGATCTTTTTTGCCATGTACCATCCGGCTTGGGAATGAGCTCCCCACCACGGTATTTCCCGAGCGCTATGACTTGTCCTTCTTCAAACGAAGCTTGTGGAGAATACTCAAGGATAGGCAGCGACTTGGCTCTGTTCCTGGCATTGCTGAAGTCCATGGGCGACAGTAACCACTCACCATCAGGTGGGCCGTATACCCGTCTGCCTACAAGAGCAATAAAAAATACAATCAAACTGCTGCTTCTACCCAGCCTCCTTCTGCTATAAAAAAATTTACGACGAGCTAGTCATTTGTTCACGTGTTCATCGTTTAGCTGATTTTAGAATTATTCATATATCAATTTTGTGATTTAAATGATTGATCATTAATTTTCACTAATAAATTATCCATGTAATTTAATTTAAACCAGTTGTAACTTCATATTAGATTCACTTGTAATTAATCATCGATTCCTGATTGTGATTTTCATTTCGTGTTTACAACAGTGTCTTTAAACTAGGTGAAACAAAAAGGTATCAAAAAAGGAATCCGCTAATGATTTCTTGCTTATAGATGTGATCCAAAGTCAATGCAGCAGTACATACCGGGCTTGCTGTACACGGTCCGAATGGTTTTTGCGACGTCTAGATATTACAATACGACTAAACAAATCTCTACCCTGCTTGTTAAAGTTACGAATCAGATACTTAACATGTGCATGGAATATCTAACCAATAACGGAAAGAAAACTATATGGAACCAGGATAAATTGAATTTCATTGAAAAAGCCAAGGTTTTTACATACATAAATATATAAAACTGAATTAGAATAGCATTAAAATAGCATTCAATGATCATACAGTATTAAAACACTAATTCATTGTCAAAAATAATAATACAAAAACATTAATATTTAACACAAGCGGCCCGCTTCGGCTTCGCTCGGGTCTTTAACAAAAATTTCAACGATATTTGTGGTCGTTTTATTTTTTTAAATAAAAGAACACTTATTGCGGCATAACTATAATAGTTAAACATATGCTGTACCGAAACTTTTTGTAAATAATTATGTGTTCCACAAAGTCGTAGTACTTTTTTTTATTCTATCATCAATAGCTTTTGCAGGGCACGCGATGTAAAGAATATTTTAGGTAATTTTTTTACACCTTAGGTTACATTATTTGAGTTTTAGTAAGGATACCTAATTTAAAAAAAAAAAAATTATAATCTATGTCACTCGGGAATAGTGTAGCTTTGAAATTGTGAAATAATTTTTCAAATCGATTCCGTAGTTTCGGAGCCTATTCAATACAAACAAACAAACAAATCTTTCCTCTTTATAATATTAGTGTAGATTTAAATTGCTGATTTCATAGCCTAAGAACTGACTCGTTATTCGCCATTTGAAATTTAAGTTTAAGTTATAATAATAGGGAAGATGTTTATACTCGGTGTTTACCTTATGTTCTAGGTCTATTGTGTTTTCACCAAAAGCCATTGTTCATTTAATTCATTTGATCCTACCGCATTAAATTATAATAATATGCGCATTGGCACTTAGAATATTTTTTTTTTTTTATGGCCCTTGTAGGCAGACGAGCATACGGCCCACCTGATGGTGAGTGGTTACCGTCGCCCATGGACTTCAGCAATGCCAGGGGCAGAGCCAAGTCGCTGCCTACCAAAGAGTTTTATAGAGCTAGGTTATGTTTTGTTACTGATATCTAGATCGTCACTGTAATTAGTAAGGTGTTTGATTTTTTTCTCTTACCTACGCTAAAAGTTCGGTTTTCCTCCCGCTGCACAGGGAAGAAAGTGTAAATTTTCCTCCCTGGGTACTGACAAGTGCGCATGCGCGTTAGTGTCTACGTCTGCTCTCACGCACCTAAAATTCTCCGCCATTGTTGTGCTCGGGTAATTTGCAATATTGTGTTTAGTGTAAAAGTGAAATAAACAAAAGTCAATAAAATTTAATAGTGAAGTATTAAACAAAGATGAGTTCATCAAACAGTTCTTATTCAATTAGTAGTAGTTTATTTAAAAATTAAAAAACAGTTAAATTGTTTTTTTTTAGTATGGGGGGGTCCGTCCCCCCTACCCCTGCCAGGGCTTCGCCCCTGGACCCCGGCTCGGTACTCCACGAACTTTTGGCCTGGTAGGAGAAAATAGTACATTGTGCACCGCGGGAAAAAAAGTAGGACATCTCATCCCGCGTGTTTGCCACGTTTACAAGCGGGAGGAAATGTCCTACTTTTCTCCCTTGGTGCACAATGTGCTATAACATTCTCATCAAACAAAATCACCAAACGATTTAATGTAAACGACTACATAAACATTTTTCGGTTTTAAGTTATGCCTTGATTTATATGGGTTTTATCGAGAATGTTATATGGAAACGCAAAAAGAAATGATAGCAGCGGCAGACGAACGTCCATTCGATTGCTCTGAAATGTATATATTTGGAAAATTCGAAACATTTCGAAAACGATTATTAAAGGTGAGAGACATGCAACATGATTTTTTTTTCTAATAATCGGCATCAGCCCACATACACCCACTGCTAGGCCTTTCGCTAAGTTCGTAACAATGATCGGCTATACCCTGACTGCATCCAGTTAATTCCCGCGACTTCAACAGGATGTCCGTCCGCTATATGAGACGCCCGCCCATTGTGCGGTCATTGTCATTGTGCTTTTAGAGCGCGGTCATTCGTAAACTTTTCGGTCCTAGCGGCCACCTATACCTATTAAAAGTACTATCTTTTTAAGGGATTATGACCCGGTAACTAAAATCTTTAGGTCATGTTCTTATTTAAATTTATTTGATGAAATGAAGATGATTAATTAGACATTAATCAACTGGGATGAATGATGATCAATTAAATTGATGATGATCAATTAAAGCCTAGGTACAATAATTTGCATTTCAGATAATGGATCTTTTCCAAAACTACATCACCTATTATGTTTTGAATAAGACCACACTGGAAGGTATTGAAGAATACGCTACAAATTTCAACAAACTGTTTAAAGCTATTTCCACAAAAACATATGATGCCTTGGACCATAGGTAGTAAATTAGAGCTAGAGTCTGAGTTAGAGTCTTATTAGAATCTCACCAATTTATATCATACTTAAAATTGTAAACGTAAATTTTAGACGTCCTGATTTCGATAAAGATTACAAAGTGTATAAAGATGGAGTTGCGAATCAAGAGTTATTACTGGAAAATTTCATGATCGCGGTAATGTAGCATCTAAAACTTTTCGGCATTATAAATAGCAGTAAATTAAGCCAAAGTTCATTATTTCAGAGCGTCAATAAATGCCCAACCACAGAAATAGCGTTACATCTATTGAAACGTTTTGAAAAGCTTCAATTAGATTGTTTGTACTTGGAAGATCAATATTATGATTTGATTAGTAATTACACAGCTGAAATTGAAGCAATCAGGGACAGGTGCTTATAAATATCTTTTCTAAATAAATTCCTGTTTATATTACCTAATTTGGTTGTAGGTACGTTGTTACGTTGGATGTAGCGTCATACGAATGAACATGACTTAGTAAAATTGGTCTTTATATTTGAGGCTTTAAAAGCTGATATTTGCGGACAAAATTGGTAACTAAAACAAAATCGAGTGGTTTTTCTTCTAGGTATAATGAAATCAGGGAAAACCCGGAATTGCCCCGAAATATGCCACCGGTTGCCGGCAGGGTTATGTGGATAAGGTTCTATAACAAAAATATCAAAGGACCGATGGAAGAATTTAAAAAACATTATGAAGTTATTACACATATGGTATATATAATCTTTATTTTACGATTATGCTAATAGTAAACAAAGTACGGGGAGATTTGTTATTTACAAATATTAATCAATATTATGTCAGCTCATAAACCACACAGCATGTAGTATTAAATCGTCGTGGCCTGAAGGGTAAGTCGCTCGATGTAGGTACTTCTTGATTATACCAGTGTTAAAATCCTCCAGACAATTTTTTCTAAAGCATACGTACCTAACAGATGCTTACAAAGACTATGGAAGAATAACATGGTGTAATAAATAAAATCCCCATAATATACTGTAAAATTTTACGTAATTAGAGTGGTTGCGTGTATAGTGACCTAGCACTCCTCCCTATCCGCTATCGGTGCTTTAAGGTACCTCAAGCACCGGTCACCGTTCTCCAGGGCTCGACGAGTAAATTAACCCTCAGACACAGCCCACTGGGTTTCTCGCCGGATCTTCTCAGTGGGTCGCGTTTCCGATCCGGTGGTAGATTCTGCGAAGCACGGCTCTTGCTAGGGTTCGTTAGCCACGTCGTCAGGTTTGAGCCCCGTAAGCTCACCTACTGGTTAAGGTTCCGCTGAAATAGCCTCTCAAGACTATCAGCTTAGGTAGGAAAAAAAAAGGTTTCGCACTGTTATCGCTAGGGCTAGTGTTAACAAATTCGTCAGGTTAGACTCCGTGAGCTCACGTACTCGCTCGGTGAATCTAGTATAACACCATGAAGTTACTAGAATAGGTAAGAAAGAAAATACTTAGTACGGGGATATGCCACTAAGCAAACTGGGTGATCTCTATCCGTTACAACACCCTCGCAGAACGTCTGACCGACCGACGGTATTTAGTACTATGATGACCAACGGGTCAACACGGAAGTAATAAAATCTCCAATTATTATTATTTATCAAGTTATTATTTTTCAGAATACACAAAGATGCATAAAACTATATAATGTTATGACTATTGTATTCACCGAATTCGAATTAATTTACCATAGCGCGTGGGCCGAAAATGTTGGTCAGGTAAAAGATAAATACATATACCTAAATACAAATATGCGATCGATACAACGGATAGTTTAATGTTTTATTGTTTATTTTCTTTAGGTCAGACTCGGCTTAGTCGCACCCCTACTGATACGTCATCCATCTACGAATATGTACATTGTGAATTTCAGTATTTATATACCGGAGTGTATAAGGGAAGTTGAATACATGTGGCAATTGGGATTACGTAAGAACGTTTTTAATATGTTTTGGTTTGCATTGCACATCAAACGTACCTGAAATATCTGTATTACCACTGTTATTGTTAGCTTAGATGAAATTTGATACTATCTGTTTAATTGGGTGGGTACACATGGGTGAACAGCCTTTTTTTATTTATTGCTTAGATGGGTGGACGAGCTCACAGCCCACCTGGTGTTAAGTGGTTACTGGAGCCCATGGACATCTACGACGTAAATGCGCCACCCACCTTGAGATATAAGTTCCAAGGTCTCAAGTATAGTTACAACGGCTGTCCCACCCTTCAAACCGAAACACATAATGCTTTACGGCAGAAATAGGCGGGGTGGTGGTACCTACCCGCGCGGACTCACAAGAGGTCCTACCACCACTCACGGCACATATGACGTTAAATGCTTACAGTAGTCCGTTAGAACGTGAACGTCGTCGCTCACCTTGAGACATGAGCTAGAAGTTTTATTGACTGACTCTGTGGTGCAGCAGTTAGCGGCCCTGTGGGCTTAGTGCGAGTTTTTTCACGTTCTCGACAGCGTAAAAGTTAACTAAAATTTGTATGGATTGGGAACGTTTCCCTACGTTTGCCGTTAGGGGCGCTGTTTTAACTGCATACAAATTTAAGTTAACTCTTAAGCTATCGAGCACGTTAAAAAACTCGCACCAAGCGCACTGATTGTTGCGCCTTGGTTCGTAGTTTCGATACCCACATTAGGCAAACATTGTGTGATCAATAAGTTTGTATGTTTATCAGTCTCTGGGGCCCATAACCAGTTGTTATTATTATTATTGTATCGTAAAAAAAACACGTGTGGCACTCGGGTAATGA